GATATCTGAATCCCTCCAGTGGAATTATAAACCCCTAGGAAGGATAACTGAATCCCTCCAGTGAAATTATAACCCCCCAGGAAGGACATCTGAATCCCTCCAGTGGAATGTAAATCACCCTGCGTAAAGTTTTGAATTGTAAAAAGTATTTTTTCAAACCCCTCCAGTGGAAAAGAATTCCCTCCGGTGGTCTCCAGTGGAGTCAAAATCTTACTACGAACTTCCGTTACTCATATTTATTGCAAATATATTTAAACCGTACCTTCTGCAGAGAACTGCTAGGCTTAGTAAGTTTCCTATTATTCCAAGAAACCCTGTTCCAGTAGTTAGTACACCAGACACCCACCAGCTTACATCCTACAATATATTCTTGTATAGTACACCATACACCCACCAGCTTACATCCTACAATATATTCCTGTATAGTACACCAGACACCCACCAGCTTACATCCTACAATATATTCCTGTATAGTACACCAGACACCCACCAGCTTACATCCTACTGTATAGTACACCAGACACCCACCAGCTTACATCCTACAATATATTCCTGTATAGTACACCAGACACCAACCAGCTTACATCCTTCAATATATTCTTGTATAGTACACCAGACACCCACCAGCCTACATCCTACAATATATTCCTGTATAGTACACCAGACACCCGCCAGCTTACATCCTACAATATATTCTTGTATAGTACACCAGACACCCGCCAGCTTACATCCTACAATATATTCTTGTATAGTACACCAGACACCCACCAGCTTACATCCTACAATATATTCTTGTATAGTACACCAGACACCCACCAGCTTACATCCTACAATATATTCTTGTAGTTAGTACACCAGACACCCGCCAGCTTACATCCTACAATATATTCCTGTATAGTACACCAGACACCCACCAGCTTACATCCTACAATATATTCTTGTAGTTAGCACGCCAGCCAGCTTAAATCCTACAATATATTCCTGTATAGTAGACCAGACACCCGCCAGCTTACATCCTACAATGACAAACTTCTCTCTATATCTATCTACTCTATGACAAACCTCTCTATATCTATCTACTTTTTGACAAACCTCTCTTTATATCTATCTACTCTATGACAAACCTTTCTCTATATCTATCTATTCTATGACAAACCTCTCTATATCTATCTACTCTATGACAAACCTCTCTCTATATCTATCTACTCTATGACAAATCTCTCTATATCTATCTACTCTATGACAAACCTCTCTTTATCTATCTACTCTATGACAAACCTCTCTCTATATCTATCTACTCTATTACAAACCTCTCTCTATATCTATCTACTCTATGAAAAACCTCTCTATATCTATCTACTCTATGACAAACCTCTCTCTATATCTATCTACTCTATGACAAACCTTTCTCTATATCTATCTACTCTATGAAAAACCTCTTTATATCTATCTGCTCTATGACAAACCTCTCTCTATATCTATCTACTCTATGACAAACCTCTCTCTATATCTATCTACTCTATGAAAAACCTCTCTCTATATCTATCTACTCTATGAAACCTCTTTATATCTATCTGCTCTATGACAAACCTCTCTCTATATCTATCTACTCTATGACAAACCTCTCTCTATATCTATCTACTCTATGAAAAACCTCTCTCTATATCTATCTACTCTATGACAAACCTCTCTCTATATCTATTTACTCTATGACAAACCTCTCTCTATATATATCTACTATATGAAAAACCTCTCTCTACATCTATCTACTCTATGACAAACCTTTCTCTATATCTATCTACTCTATGAAAAACCCCTCTCTCTATATCTATCTACTCTATGACAAACCTCTTTCTATATCTATCTACTCTATGCTAAACCTCTCTCAAAATCTATCTACTCTATGACAAACCTCTCTTCTCTCTATATATATCTAATCTATGAAAAACCTCTCTCTATATCTATCTACTCTATGACAAACCTCTCTCTATATCTATCCACCCTACGACAAACCTCTCTCTATATCTATCTACTCTATGACAAACCTTCCTATATCTATCTCTCTATGACAAACCTCTCTCTATATCTGTCTACTCTATGACAAACCTCTTTATATCTATCTGCTCTATGACAAACCTCTCTCTATATCTATCTACCCTACGGCAAACCTCTCTCAATATCTATCTACTCTATGGCAAACCTCTCTCTATATCTATCTATTCTACGACAAACCTCTTTCCACGTCTTTCTACTCCATGATTGTTACCTGAACCAGCTGAAAGTTCGGAGGTTTTCCACAAGCACTGAAATTCATTTCCACAAACTAGATATAAATGGATGAAACACATTATACCTTGTACATGGAAACGTCTCAAAACGGAAACTAACATAAAGAAAGCGGAAACCAACCAAATTTGATGCAATTCCGCGAATTCTTCGACTTTTTTGGAAATCCCTCAAAAGTCAGATTTTGAGGAGTTTCCTCTTTTTTTTAATCGAGTTACCTAAATTTAACATAAATTTCTACTTTATTTCAAAGAAATATTTTCGAGAGATTTCCCAATATTTTTGAGGGGATTCTTAGTATTTTGAGTCCGTTTCCTCACATTTTTGATCAATTTCTGCATTTTTATAAAACTTAAAAAATTTCCTCAAATTTTAGGTCTGTTTCCTCAAATTTTTGATCCGTATCTGCTTTTTACATAAACTTTAAAATCTCAATCTCAATCTCAAATGGAATCAGTTCTAATATTCGAGGAAACTTAATGACAAATTGTGATTTTTAAGGTTTTTAACAAAAGCGGAAACGGCTCAAAAATACGAGGAAAGGGACCAAAAATTTGAGGAAACAGTTCAACATATTGTGATTTTTAAGGTTTTTTAAAGAAGCGGAAACGGATCAAAAATATGAGGAAACGGACAATTCTGATTTTTTAGGGATTTCCTCGAATTTCTAAAAAAACGGAAATTCCTATAAAGTAATTTTAGATCCATTTCCGTGTTGAAGCGTTTCCATGTCACCCTTGTAAACCAAACAAATTAAAATAAAGAAAAGATAAATTTGTATTTTCAAAAATACCGCGGACAAGATATTAGTCCATTTGCTAACAAGCTAAATGAATCATTTTGACATGTGTCGTATCTCTTTAATATCAAGAGCCCAAAACTTCAGCGTTTCTTAATAAATCCCAGTAACGGAAAACCGGTTTAACGAATGGGGTCATTTTTGTAGATACCAATTTTATGTGGTTTCCTTGCGTTCTTTTTTTTGACTAATTTCTTAAATCAAAATCTGCGCAAATGTATAAACCCCAAAAAGAAAACTCAAAAGTTTAGTTCAATGATACGCTCTTTAATTCTGGCTCTGGGGAAACAAGGCCGAAATGCGTTTGGTTTCTTGAATTTGTATTCATTTGTGTTGCGGGAAAATTTTAATTATTCCGTTAAACTGTTTCAAGGATTTGTTCTGCTGTTTCTGTTTTTTTCGCCACTTCTTTTTCACCTTACTTTTGTTTAATCAAATTGTGATTAGTGTTAAATGAATGTTCAAAGTTAAGATAATTTAAGAAATTCCCCGTTTTTATCTCTAGGGGAATTAAATACAGTAATATCCAGAAAACTCTGAAATAGGAAGACGACATTTTAGCAATATTTAGGTGTATTTCATGGTGTTACAAAGGAAATAGTTTAACTAGACACTTATCAAATTATTACGTTAGTGAAATGAGTCTGTTTACACTGCACAATTGTGTCCCATGCTTATTGGACTATTTGAAGTCATAAATTAAGTCGAAAAGTCGTCTTCCTATTTCGGAATTTTCTGGTTATCACTGTATATAATAAAAAATGTCAATTAAACAGTTTAATTTCAACTGAAAGTTTCACAGGCAAAGATGACTTATTTAACATGCAACTTTTCCCAATTTAAACTTTTATCTAAAGTTTTTAGATATCAAAATCATGTGGGGAAAACTATGATGGGGGGGGGGAAGCATACGTTCCATGACTGGCTTTATGTTTGAAAAATGTTAAAAAACTACATTATTTTGGAAACGAAAGTGGGAAATTTTCATTAAGTTAGGAAGGGTAACTAAGAAATTCCTAAAGCATTTCCAAGGTATTTCTCGCAGATTTTTTTTAATTAAAAAAAAAATTAGAAAATGTGTCAAGAACTCAATTTTTTTCGTGCAGATTTTCTCTATTTCTTATCAATATATAACAGTTCAATTTACTTTCGCCAATTTTAGCTTGAAAAATTAACCTTACGATTTTCAATTAAACCAAAAAAACATTTCTTCTTTTTTGGAATTTTGAGCGGATTTTCTAAGAATTATTAGACAATTTCACGTTCAGTGAAATTCTTCTTGACTGGATTTAAAGCAATCCATCCAAAAACAGAAAAATCACATATATTTCATCATCTTCATCATCATCATCATCATCATCATCATCATCATCATCATCATCATCATCATCATCATCATCATCATCACATCATCATCATCATCATCATCATCATCATCATCATCATCATCATCATCATCATCATCATCATCATCATCATAATCATATTTTTTCATAAGTACAGCATTTAACCCCCCACCCCCTCCCTTGCACATGTAAAATGCAACTTAAAAATGAATAATTTAATTTCTTATTAAATAAAAAATCTGCCCTACTCCTCTTCCTACCCTAGAAGGCTGTGGAACCGCAGTAGTTGACAGATTCATCTCACAACTATTCTGATTAAAGAAATTATCTGGAAACCATTTTCACAGTTAAAATATTTTTCTCTGTAAGCAAAAATAAGCTTGGGCAAGTTGTTTAAGAAGAGAATTATGAAATATTTTTCTAAAAGAAAGATGAGACTTAATGAGTCATGGTATTTTGTTGTGAAGATACATTTTTTAAACATTAATTTATTAGACATCTTTGCATAAAGTTGTACAGTTTTTAAAATATCTGGTTTTTATAAAAGTGAGTGTTTGCAAAAAAAATAAAGCTGGTATAAAATCAATTGATTGGCATTACTATTATGTCAATCCGATATTTCTGTAATGTGAATTTGTTATAATCTGTCCTCTGAATTAACCCTATCTCTGCTGGGGTACTTGAAAACCAGGATATGCTGGGGGGGGGGGGGCAATTTGACCCCCCAGCATATCCTGGGTTTTGCAAAATTTTAAATAACCAGATTTTTAATCAAGAAAAACTAAAAATGTGAAAATTTCCTTAGACAGGTGGTTTGCAAAAATTTGCAATTTTTTTTCGCAAAACTTGTTTAATTCGTTTCCTTATGTCAAAGGCTTTCTAAAAAGCTAAATTTTATTAAAATCTGACAAGTGGAAGTGGGTCAAAACAAAGATTTAGTTTGTTACAGGAAAAAGCAGTCATTCAAGCAGTGTGCCTGAGGACTCAGGCAGTTAGTATTAAAGCCCGGTTTTAGACCTAAATGGAGGGCTTTGGGTATGAAGGAAAAGTCAGAAAATTTCAACAGCCTCAGACCAATACTTTTTGAGTTATGTAAAAAAAAACTACAGGGGGGGGGTCAAATTGACCCCCCGCCCCAGCAGGAAAAGGGTTAAGTACAGTTAAGCACTTTTCCGTTAAATATTTTTTTCCCGGTTTTTAAGCATTACGTTTTTTGGCTTGAAAAAAATGTATTTTTTAACTCTCTTTTTTTAATCAATAATGTGAAAGATATTGTAGTTTTTTCTAGTTTAAAGTTTAATTCTGATACTTTACACCTTTGTTTTTGAAACAAAGTTGCTCAAATCTCTATGGGGAGAAACCTCAAACAAAAATAATCTTCATCAGAAATTTTTCTATAAATTGTCAATTTTGCAAAAAATTTCAAATAATTGTGAAATCCAGTATATACCAGGAAAAGAATGTGCGAAGTTAAAAAATGCGCGAAATATGATAAATAATTCATTTTTGAACAGCCCTTGGCCCAGCGAATTAAACTAAGAAAATAATTACAAAATATTTAAACCTTTTTGTGATTAAAATTGGGTTAAAATATATTTTTAGTCGAAGTAGAGATAAAAAGGGTATTCAGCCAGTATAGGTATAAGTTACCCAGCGTCTCGCCTGAAGTGTGATAGGTGTAAATGAAAAAAAATATTTAACACACTCAGACCAATTTTTTCAGTTATATCTCGAAAAAATTAAAAAATAGGATTCGAGCGCCGTTGTGATCCAGACCACCATTCTTTGCATTAAAAGTCATTTGAAATTAATTTTGCAATCCTTTTAACAGTTACAGGGTAGGTTTATAAATGATAAAAATTTTAAAATGTTGCCTCCACGAAAATCCACGAAACTTTTTTATAAATCATTAATTTTTTTTTTCTTTTCTGTTTTCTGTTTTTTTTATGTATATAGAGAGACAGAGAGAGAGAAAACGTTCACAGTTTAAATAGAAGATAAATGCTTTATTATTATTATTATTATTATTAGCATTATCATGAAGGTGCAAAAAAAGAGTACAATATTTTTTTAGAATGCCGTTTTTACCCCTCCCCTTACCCTCCCCCTTCTCTTCTCTAGAGACACTTTCTAGTTCTACGGTCAGTTCATCTCTGAAAGAAACCAAACTCTCTCTCTCTCTCTCTCTCTCTCTCTCTCTCTCTCTCTCTCTCTCTCTCACACACACACTCACACTCACACACACACACACACACACACTCACACTCACACGCTCACACTCACAAGATAAGAAACATCTATGTAAATAATAAAAAAATTGCATTATCTCTAGATTAGAAGACACAAAGTTAAGCAAAGTTCTAATTAGTAAGTGAGAGGCGTGATGTTTGCTAAACAGAGCCTGTGCATCAAATAAAATAAAATAGTTGGGAGTTTTCCTTTTAAACGTGTCACAGCTTGAGAACAATCGAAATTCAATATATTTATTCTATTAAAAATGATAAAATATATATTCAGGGCTCTGTAAGTTTTCAAAATTTCACATTATTTTTAACTAATTTGAAAGAAAATTTGATGAAGTTCAGTCAAATTCTTTATTTACTATTTATCGATTTGCTATTATTATTTTTATTGCTAGTATACACTATACAGTAAACAATGCTAATATTACTTTTATTGCTAGTATACACTATACAGTAAACAATGCTAATATTACTTTTATTGCTAGTATACACTATACAGTAAACAATGCTAATATTACTTTTATTGCTAGTATACACTATACAGTAAACAATGCTAATATTACTTTTATTGCTAGTATACTCTATACAGTAAACAATGCTAATATTACTTTTATTGCTAGTATACACTATACAGTAAACAATGCTCATATCAGTGAATATGAACAGTTAGAATGGATAAATATATCTAAATATATTGCTAGTATACACTATACAGTAAACAATGCTCAGATCAGTGAATATGAACAGTTAGTATGGATATATATATCTAAATATAAATTTGGCTTGTCTGTCTGGGAGTCTGTTTGTTTGTTTGTATCCAATAAACGTCAAAACGGCTGAACCGATCGGGCCCAATTTTTTTGTGAGACATCACGTGACCACAGGGAAGGTTTTCGAATCATAAAAATTTTAAAAAATGTGTTTTAAAGGTTTTTAATTTTGTAAAAAAGATTAAATTCTTGAAAATCCGCGAATTTTTTTTCTTTTTTGTTTTGAAATGTAAACAAAAAGAACATGTTCACAATTTAAATAGAAGATGGGCGCGAAGCGCCCTAAAAGCCTAGTATACTTTGCATGTCTGGGTGTTTGAGTGTCTGTTTGTGTCCAATTAAAGACGTCAACATTTGTTGTGAGAGCTCAAAAAACCCCAAGAATTGTCTATCAATGCTCAGAAATTGTATACAAAAGTTTTTTTATCTGAAAATTTAAAAAAAAAACAACGAAAAAATATTATTAAATCTGCGATTTTTTGTTATTGTTTTATATCGTACAAAGAGAGAGAAGATGCTTACAAATAAAGCAGCAATTAAAATTGGAAATAAAAAATGGGCGAAAAGCGCCCTAAAAAGCCTTGTCTTTTTAAAACCACTTGAATTTGATTGTTTCGTTAACGATGAAGTTCAATGGAAACCATTTTAAATAAGGGAATATTGTTTAAGATACAGTGATAACCAGAACACTTTAGAAAAGCAAACGACTTTTAGACTCAAGTTATAACTTTAAAAAGTCCAATGAGCTTTGGACACAACAATTGTGCATTGTAAACAAAACAGACACTTTTTAATTTATAAGGGATTTTTAAGTGTCTAGTAAAACTATTTGCTTTTTGACAACACTGTATAAACTAGAATATTGTTTTAATGTCGTCTTTCTATTCCATTGTTTTCTGGTTATCACTGTAGTTCCAATGTAAACAACGAAGTCATTATACATAATATGTTAATGAGAGATCAATTGTTAACAAGTGATTCATAGTTAACAAGAGATCAGTGTTAGCAAGAGATTCATTGTTAACAAGAGATTCATTGTTAACAGGATATTCATTGTTAACAAGATATTTATAGTTAGCAAGATATTCATTGTTAACAAGATATTCATTGTTAACAAGAGATTCATTGTTAACAAGAGATTCATTGTTAACAAGAGATTCATTGTTAACAAGAGATTCATTGTTAACAAGAGATTCAACAAGAGATTCATTGTTAACAAGAGATTCATTGTTAACAAGAGATTCATTGTTAACAAGAGATTCATTGTTAACAAGAGATTCATTGTTAACAAGCGATTCATTGTTAACAAGAGATTCGGTTTGCTTTAAATCATGTCAACAGTGCTAATTTAGAACTTATCAAGTTTATACAATTGTGCTTTATTTATCTACTATTTATTAATTTTAGAGATTAAATCAAAAAAAACTAAGCGTAACGGAACTCAAATTATTTGAATTTATTGATAATCTTTAAAATCTTATTCTTATTTAAGGAACTTTTAAAATTGTATTTTTTTTCAGAACTTTATAAATAATGTTATTTTAAACTTTAAACTAATCTTAGCTCAGTATTTTAGTCAATTTTGAACAAAATAAAAATTACATATTCTACATTCTAAAAAATCGTATAAATTAACTTTTTAAGTATTCTTTTTTTAATTTTGAAATGTTGTTTTGTGGATAATAATTAGCATGTATTAGAGAGTACAAAATTAACATTTAACGTTTAACATGAAGTACAACATAGTTTTAATGTCTGAATTATTTTTACAGGATAAATACGGTTTGTAAATTAGAAATTTTTGCAAAGGAATTCGTGGACTTTTGCAGAATATTACTGTTTAAAAATATCATGGTGAACTTAACAAATTCCGTACAATCAATCCTATTCTCATCCTTTGTGGATACTGTATATATGTGTTAAAAAACATAATCGTTTCAAAATCAACTGCGTTTTAGAGAAAACCGGCCTATTATATTTTAGATAAAATGTTTGGTTTGGAAAATATACCAAAACGCTTTGTACTCTGTGGTTTGATGTTCTCTGGACTAGTTACAAACTACATGCTCAGGAATAAAAACATAACACATTGTCTTCAAGTATAATTTCGAGTTACCCTCTATGCAAAGATTCACAACGTTTCCAGAAAAGCTTTGATATTAATGTTTATAGTTCTAAAAACTATTTTTTTCAATTGTGGTTTCTTAACAAAAGTGACCGGAGGAAAACGTATTGGAATAATCAGAATATTCACGATCAAACTTAGAAAAATGTTTCAATGGTACCGTTGTGAATCTGGCAATGCCATCTTTGTATAGAGGGTCACTTTAAACTAGACTTACAGTCCCTTTATTAGATTTTCTATACAATCTTCAATCTGAGTGGCTTTCATGAAAATCTGAAAGGCTTAAATGCAGGGTGACATTGAGTATAAACAAATTTGTCTAAAAATAAATTTATATATTTGAAAAGAAAAATTCTATTTTTAATTTGCTTTGATACTGAATTGGGGGAAAAAAATAGAAGAAGGGATTTGTTTGTGAAAGCTTCAATTTAGATGAAAATGAGATCTGAGGAAATAGTCAAACAGTGTTTTCGTATAAGGTTTCTGGTCTGGCGGCAAATACGAAACATTACGGGAAAACAGATGTTTCAGAATTCATCATAAATGAGAAGAGATCAGAACAAGAGAAGCATCAAGAACAAGAGAAAAATCAAGAAAAAGAGGAACATCAAGAGCACGAGCGTTACTCAAGGATAAATACTAAATGTAAACAAAGAGAAACAAAGACCTAGAGAGGAAACGAAGTCGGGAGATATAAACCCAGAAACGATGAATTATGTACGAGAATAAGATTATCACATAGATGAAATTAAGAAGAAATTGATTCTTGATGACAATCCTTTAAACTTCACAAGAAAGACAAACATGTTAGATATAAACACAGAAATACAAATATCTAGAGCGGAAACAAGTTTGAAGAAAGAAATCAAGATCAAGAGAAACCTAGAAAACTAGAGAAGAGAAGATGGCAGAACCAAAGAAGCTATCAGAAAAAGGAAAAGGAAATCGAAGAAAGATCATTTAAAACAGGGAATGATGCGCAGAACTATTCCTATGAAGCTATGCTTAGAACAAATGCGGAGTTGACAAGCACAGCAAGGACAGTAAAGAAGCTAATCCGGTTCCAGAGAAACAATCAGTGAATTTAGAGAGACAATTAGCTGATAAAAAGGGATTAACCCTATCTCTGCTGGGGTACTTGAAAACCACGATATGCTGGGGGGTCAGTTAGTATTAAAGCCCGGTTTTAGGCCTAAAGGGAGGGCTTTGGGTATGTAGGAAAAGTCAGAAAATTTCAACAGCCTCAGACCAATACTTTTTGAGTTATGTAAAAAAAAACTATAGGGGGGGTCAAATTGTTCCCCCCCCCCAGCAGGAATAGGGTTAAAAGCAAGTCTTGCAGGTGTGGAAACAGGTTTAAATCCAAATACTCTCCGAGTTCTATATTAACATGATGTTAATAAGAATAGCAGAATCGACATCCAGTAGGAATTATGGTATGAGGAAAAAGTCAGTGATGATGGTAAATAGGTGGGACAGAAAGAGTGCCTATGGACTAGTAACGGTCAGTTTCAACTAGGGTTTCCAGGGAGCAAAATATTTTGGAAACAAATGCGAAAATATTCGCATGTTGCAAACTTTTTGCGAAATTTCGCCAAATAAAATGAAGCAATAACAAAGCAAAATTTTGCAGAAAAAATTTTGCAAAAATGCAAAATGCAAAAATTTTGCAAAAATATTTTCCCCAAATGCGAAAATGCGGAAATTTCTCGAAAATTTTGAGAAAATCATGAGTTTTATAGCTGCAACAATTAATTGCTCAAAAGAACTTGTGGAATTCTAAACTCTGATAGCTCATATTGGAAGTTTTTTTGTTTTATAAATAATTTCTCTTCCTCAACTTTAATAAATGTTTGAATTTTGCATTTGTTTTAAAAAATTCTGCAATTTTTGCAAAACTTTTGTTTTTCGCATTTTCTAATTCGAGAAAATTTCGCATTTTTTCACGAAAAAGATAGAAGCAAAATTTTGCAAAAAAAAAGCAAAAGTTTAACATTTTTCAAAAGCGCTCGAAATGCGTAAATTAAGCGAAATGGTCGCGAAAAAAAAATTTGGAAATGTGAAATTTTTGCATATTTTACATGTGAACAAAATGCAAAAATGAAACAAAATGGTTGAGAAAAATGCGAAATTTTTGTCTAAAAATTTTCTCTTTTTGCTGGAAACCCTAGTTTCAACCAAGATCATCAGTCACAGAGAAAACATATAACTAGAAACATTGAAACAGTTTCCGATATGATATATATTATTATTATATTAATATTGTTGTCTGGGTTTTGCTGGCAAGTTTGGAGTTGGAGAATCCCCTAGCCTGGAAGGAAAGCAGGCAAGTTCATTACTGTCAAGTCCCAGTAAGACTAAGAAGATATGTCCTGCCTGCCCATTGTATACTGCCTGGTTCCAACAATCCTAGTATGTACAGACTCCAACCTTATTCATGGAACCATCATTGCCAAACGTCAAGTCCGTATAACTTCCGGTGCACTATGCATCTCAGAAAAATCCCATTTTAGAGGATATTCAGGGAATAATCTTTTGTTGTTTATGATCGCCCCAGAACTACAAATCAGCATCCTGGTCTCCCCCCAAGTCTGCCAGAGAGCTCTACGCTAAGAACAATTCAAGGCCCCTGATGGAAAGATTCTGAGTGTGGACCTGGATAAGCAGTTCGCTCAGAATTTTGTAGATGATGGCAGTATCACAGTTGAGTCGAGCAATACCTATTCTGAGGGAATAAGATTGAAAATAAGTCAAAGCAATGTAGCTAACGCCTTCCTCGTCCTCACACAGATCAAGTTCAAAAACACATGAGAGAAATTCATTTCTGACAAATCTGGCTCAATTTCTTGGAAGAATGTTCATGTATCATTACCAGAAGAGTGCTCATTCTATTCCAGTGTTCGAGGAAGGATCATCCAGCTGTCCTTATCAACTTTTTTGCTGGATCCAGAACTCTGCTTTGATTACAGTGTAGAGTAATTGTTCCCCCATGGAGTATTCAGATTGAGAGCATACCTCAGTATAGGGGAAAGATTGATTAAGGGTTTGATAGATAGCCCATGCTTGTGACCCTGTGTGGCATTTAGAGGCGAAGTAATAGCTTGTTTTAAAGCTACGCTTGTGTCCCTGTGTGGCATTTAGAGTCTGAGTAATAGCTTGATTGATAAGCTACACTTGTGTACCTTTGTGGCATTTAGAGCCTAAGTAATAGCTAGATTGATAAGCTACGCTTGTGTCCCTATGTGGCATTAAACGCCTGAGAAATAGCTTGTTGATAGCTAAGCTTGTGTTTAGAGCCAGGTGGGTTGTGTCCTGGTTGACTTGGATAGTGGATGGGTTGTGCCTAGACTGTACAGTTTGGGATGAAGCTATAAGATTACGGCATTTTTACAATAATGGTCCTAACCATGAATCCCACAAACTGACCTTTGGTGCCTCCTGATTCCCAGAAAGACCTCCTAAGATGAATGATCTTAAATTGTTTAATAGGAAATGATGTATCAATTTTTTTTAAAAGTGCTTATAATGGAAACGCACATTGAAAAATGACTGGACGTATTAAAAAAACATTCATAATTTTAACAACCTTGCAAAATTATCCTTGTTGGAAGGATTAGAATAACAAAAAAATTTTAAAAATTAATTTACAGGGATTTTTAGGTTGTGAAAAATGATTTTGCAGTAGAAAAAGTCATTGATGTTTGAAATAATTAGTAATTTAACTATCAAAACCTAAAACTACAAAACAATTGATAAACTATTAATTAATCTTATTGCTACCACTTAGGAACTAAAACACTCTAAACATAAGCTAGTGGGCTAGGTCAAATAGGCCCATGATAGACCAGGTACTGTAAAAGTCTGGCGGCGTCATCAAAGTTGAAATAAAGCCAGTGCATAATAGTGTCGGGCTGGAATTTGCCGTGTACATTTCACTAAGGCCTGTACAAGGGGTCAGTCTGATTTGAATTCAAATGAACCTAAGTCCACAGTGAAAATTATGTGTCTAAACAAGAAATCCTAAAAATGTTTTTAATTTGCTAAAGAGTAAATATGAACATAGCTATAGTAGAACTTGTAAGTAAGGGAAATGCTGATGAACAACTGTGTGGGAAAAATAACACCAGGATAAACGAGGTATCTATGTAGCAAAAAGCACTTAAACATGATATTCTGTTAGCTTGCAGTACGTTGTAAATCATAAATGATTAAATCTTTTAAACTTAGACATAATGAAATCATTCCTTGAAACTTAACATGATTAGCATAAATCATACAACATATAGAAAATTACACAAATCATGTAATATGATTAAAACCATTCCATGCTTGTAGATTGATCTGACTACTTCAATCCCTTATTGTGATTGCCTATTAAGTATATATATTAACAGCTCATAACTTGTTATTATGCTTTAAATAACCCAATTCTGATGTATAAACATTAAAATACAGATTTGTTTGATTGAGAATCCGCTTTTGATTATGCATAGTAAGCTTGGAATAAAGCTTTGGTTCTTATTGAAAAATACAAGCGGAAATCTTTACTAGTTGATTTAGCATAGAATCAAATATAGCTTAAAAGATAGCATTGGTTATCGTTGAAGCATACAAGCATAGATCTTGCCTTGATAATTGGCAATTGAATCAAATATAGCTTGAAAGATAGCTTTGGTTCTTTTTGAATTATATGAGTTGAGTATAGAGTCTAAGATTGATTTCTATATTGTTGGATGCTTGTGTCCCTGTATGGCATTTAGAGCAGGTCCTGTTTGATTGTGTTAACTAATAGACCAGGACAGATATATCTCCAGTAAATTGTTATGGAGTAGGTATTTTCTACAAAACTGGTGGTAGCGGCAAAAATCAGATCAAAGAACCCTGAGTAAATACTAAAAAACCAACAAGAAACAATGAAGCAACAAGTTGTGTATAGTGTACCAGAGTGTAACAAAGGACAGTTTTAAATTGTGCTATTGCATCTGAGATTTTTCTTAACTCTGGATTGAATCTTTTTTTTATCTGGTCATACATCTGTTTCCTGTTCTTCTCTTTTTGGTCTACGCATTATAATCTCTTGTAGAAAAGAGAAAAATGCATTTTGACTTATATTTCTGATTCATATGTTTCTTTAATTTGATATCTTGCACCACAAATATCAAAGTAAGTATACAAAGTTACTGTTTGTAAGGAGCAGATATCAGATGTGTTTGCAGTTTTTAATATTGTTTCTGATCTAGCAATGTCTTGAATCAACAACCTTAGGTGTGTTGCAGTCTCAGCAGCAATTAATTACACTGTTCTAGGGTTTCTAAGTAGGGTAAAATAATTTAGAGGAGGGGGGGGGGGGTGGAAATCTCCTTCCCTTCCCTAATGATGTCTAAATTCACTATAGGAAAATATGACAGTGTACAGCTTGACACTAGAGACTTCCTTCAATTTCTTCCTTTTCCTGTTAAATTTTTTTTTTCTTTTTGTTTATTGTTTTTTTTTGCTTTGAGACCTCTCCTAATAGTTCTTGTGACATCAAGTTATGGATCAGGTAGGAGAGAGCTTTTTTAAAAGAGATTTTTTTCTCCCCAGGACATGATCAGGTTGTTACAATCGAATCTTGGAATTTTCCTATTGTGAAAGTTGGGTGTTGTATGGGTTAATATTGATCTACCAGGGGTTGTAATCTGGCAGCACATTCCTACAGCCAAGCTTCAATCATACTGTGAAGAGAGTTGAAAAGATTCCGACTAGATCATGGAACTGAGAATAATAGAGTGCAGGAATTCTTCTGATATACTAGAATGAGGCTCGGGTGCCATACAGACAGGAAACATCATACTTATTGCTCCCAATCATTTGTAAGTCCAGATTGGATACCCCCAGGTACCTATAGCTGGCAACCATAGACTCTCCCTGCTTTTCAACCTTTCCTCTCTTCATCATCATCATTCACTTGGATAAATCCATTTAATGCTTCTTTCTTGTTGAGTAGAAAGACGTACCCTATCGATGCAAGAGTTGTTGACAGCTGTCCTCCTACATCTCTCAGGTGGTCACAACTGCTTAATCAGATGGATGACGGCTTCAGATGTTTTTGAAACCACAGGTTTGTGTGGAGTATGGGAATTGAACCCATGAACACTAGTCTGGACACCAATCCAGTTACTGGCTGTGGACAAGTGTGCTTAATTTCAGTGATCTAACAAGAACTGGTGTCACACACTCTGCACCCCACCCCACAATTAGTAGTTTTGTAGGAGGAAGGGTATAGGGGATTGCTGTTATATTATACTCTTTCCGAGTTAAGAGGAATTTTTAGAAAAACCCATACCTGCACCCCTTATGCAAAATGGGGAGTTTTAAGCCCTGAAGCCCCCTTGAGAGGAACTTCCATAGCAGTCCAGTCCTCACAGCTGGTCGCGTTAAAAACCGGTATCAGTGGGCATGGCTTGTATATTGTGTTTCCAACGCAAGTGGATTATACTTGCACGCAATGGTGAGCCCTTTCACACAAGTGAATTAACTGCGCGCAATTCTGTAATGATTGTGCGCAATAAACCCAATGGAATTAGCGGAATAAACGCAACAGAATTACACACAATAGCACGCAATTCCGTCCAACTCTCATGCGTTTGTGTTTTAACTTTTTGATAAAATTCAATTTAAACCTTATGGCACGCAATAAATGCAATTGATTATTGCACAATTCCTTTTAACAACAATTTAAACTTTGGTAGGGGCATACACTAAACTGAAAATTGAATTTAAGCTTAATCTTTTGTTTTATAATGTTCATTTGCAGCATTATAACCAGAAAACTCTGGCACAGAAAGACGAAATTTTAGACTAAAGCAGACCAATGTAACTGAATAAATGATTTAATAAGATACTAATTAATGTTTTTTGCTTATTTGTAACGACATTAAATACACTGTGATGCTGTCCTTCTGTTCCATAGATTTCTGGTTCTCTCTGTAGCAAAATATCTAATTTTGATTAAACAAACCTTACGATTTTAACCAAAAAAAGTTTCCATTTTAATGTTCCACGCAACGGAAACCATGTTTGTATACCCATTAGGGGTTGAAATCCTTCTATTAGTTAACCATGCTGAAGATGAAGTCTTGTTTTAAACTATGTACATTGTACAATCCATGCTCCCCTGTAGGATAAACATATTGTTCAAAAGATAACAAAAACAACATAAACTATTTTGAAAACAATTGCCAGACAGAGTTTTTAGTTTTATTTTTCAATTTTAAATTTAATTAAACAAGCTCCAAAAAGTGCATTCTGTTAAAAATAGTAACTGGTAATTTTTTATTCCAATCGGGGCTTCTCCCCAATTTTTTTGTGTTTGTGTATAATTTTATTTTATATTGATGATTTAAAAAATGTTCAGTAAGTAATTTCATTTAAACCTTTATTGCAGGAAAAAAGAAATCCTATGATAAAACAAAATATTGAAGATTATATAATTGAAATGTAACAGAGAGGGTATTTAGCAGAACTTTTACAAGTATTTGTCAATCTTGCCCACGCTTAATTTCAATATCAAATCTTGGCGTTTTTAAATTTGAGAATAAATGCTTAATCCCTGAATTATATTTATCCTGTGGTGGGAAATTTTCTGCGGATTATCGTAAATTTGAATTTGTTGATCTCGAAATCTTATGTAGGCTCTTTAGATGTTAGGATAAATGTGTGATCCTTCAATTAATTGCAGGGTATGACCCCCATAGGATGTCGCATTTCGCATTTAGTTTACAGAAAAAATGCGAAAATTTCGCAAAAAAAGGTGAAAATTTTGCGAAATTTACAAAATTGGTTTTGAAATTTGGCTTTCTTTGTTCTCCGAAAATTTCGCATTTGTTGCGACTCATCAGAAATTTCGCGAAAATAACGAAAATGTTTGCAATTTTTCACGAAATTGACACATTTTTTTCACGAAAATCCGAAAAGTTTTAGCTTACTTTCGACAAATTCATTTTCGCGAAAACATTTGCAAAATACGAAAGTAAATTTTCGCGAAATTTCGCCTTATTTTTGAAAATTTTCGCTCGCTGTAAACCCTTGCTTGATCCCAAGATTCACAACCATATAGTGCTGACCTGTGACCGCGAAGACATATCATACTACAATAAACATTGGAATTCAGTAATAAATTCGATGTTGTCTTTTAAAATAATTTTTTGAATTAGTATAGTGATACCTACTTAGAAAGCTTTAATCCGTAAGATTTTCGTCTGCTATGTATAATTAGTTTGTTTATGTGTTAACTGAATACGGTTGTACTTAGTTAAACTGTAAACAAGAAAATTTCAGTATACAAACAGAGTAAACTTGTCCGTCTTCACTGTTCATCTGCGGAGACATTATAGATACATCTTTACAGTCTTTTACCCTTTTCATAAAATAACTCTAGCAGACATAATAATATTAAGGCTTTTGAAATTAAGTATTACAATGCTAATTCATAACAAAGACGATATCGAATTCGTCACTGAATTCCCATGTTTTCTGGGACACCCTGTTTTTGATTGTTTAGTATGAAATGGAAACAAATCAACTTTCTTCAATCATTTTTTTCTTCGAATCATATTTCATATTTTCTAAGAAGTAAAAAAATCATAACAGATTTTTTTTAAATTATTTTTTTTCTTCAAATTTAGACAAGTGTAGATGACGAGATCAGAGAACCAATTGTTGATTGGACAACTTTTCAGGTTTTATCATTTGCTTAATTATAATTTGTTTTAGCACAGTGTACGTTTCTTTGTACAAAGTAAAAAAAAAAAAACAATTTAAAGAAAATCTATTTTGAGTTTTAAAGGAGAACATTTTTAAAAATTTGACTTTCCGTCACTGATGTCACTACTTGAAAACTTGAAAACACTAGGTCTTTTTTCTTTCTTAATCATAAGTGCGTCATCGATTATTTTTCGACGCATATATTATAGTTAATATTTCATAATATTTTTGATTTTTTTTTTAATAATTTTCGCTGGCGTTGGAGTTTTGAAAATTCCTGGAAAATATGAAAATGTCGTCTTCATTATCAAAAATCCTCGAGACAGGAATAAATGTTTTCAAACGTAACTCTCAGATCATGAGAAATACAAAACATTATGAAATATCAACTGTTTACGAATGCGTAAAAAATAATCCATGACTATTGTTTGTAATATCTGAATGATTCGTTTGGAATTGGAACTAATTGATTTGTTTACGATCCGAGTTCAATGTTGCATCTTTCTGAATTTGTTTGGACACTACGTTCTTCTGTAAAAGTCGTTTTTAACAATTTTCTCCTTATAGACGCAACAGATAGAAGTAAGATTAGTAGCGATCAGAAGCGTTTTTTTTATCGCATTAAGCCTATACCCCCTTTCATTTTTCGCGAAAACTCCCTTTAAAGCACTGCATTTGATGTTGTTATAAAGCAAACAGCTTTACTAGTAAGTTATCATATCACTAATAACGTGAAATGGGTCTGTGTACACTACAGAATTGCAGTGCCTCATGTTCATTTGGCTATTTTAAGTTAAAACTTGAGTCTAAAAGTCGTCTTCCTAATTCAGAGTTTTCTGGTTATCACTACAAGTGCAAATCTTTGAAATAATCCATTCTTGACACCAAGTATTTTTGATACTGAAGGTTGGTTGGGTACTGTCTGCATTCTTTTTTGGATATGTTGCCTTCCAGGTATTTTTTTAAAAAGAAATATGTGTTCGTCTAAAAAGTAAATATAAACTTTATCAAAAGATCTTCTTCAAAACATAAACTTTATTTCAAAAGAATTATTTTACAAAATTTTATATTTATAAGAACGTCGAAATATTTTCAATCAAATTTAGAAGTTTGTTCTCAATTTACAATATACAATTCCAAAAATCACAAAAAATTTTATTATTCTATATAGTTTCTATCTGATATTAATAATTATAATTTTTTTAAATATATTTTTAACTAAAAGTTGTCGCCAAAATTAAAAAAAAAATACATGAACACTAGAATATTCTTCGCAAAATTTAACCAAACTTCTCTCAAACTGAGATGTTTTTTTTCTTTCAAAAAAATTTTGCAAGAGCTAATTATTCTCAAATAAAAACATTTTTATCCTTATTTGATTGTTCTTACTTTGTAGTTACCAGGAGGGAGATTGGCTGAAATATACGGAACCAAATATATATTTGGCTGGACTATGGCAGGTGTAAGCGAAATCTATTTATCGGAAACTTTTTTTGTTTTATATAATTTTGTTATTAACGTTTTCATATTTATTCTGAATATTGTTATACCGTTAAAATTGAAAATTAACATATATAGAGTGGCAGGTCCAATTCACATTTATAGAGTGGCAGGTCCAATTCACATATACAGAGTGGCAGGTCCAATTCACATATACAGAGTGGCAGGTCCAATTCACATATATAGAGTGTCAGGTCCAATTCACATAAATAGAGTGGCAGGTCCAATTCACATATATAGAGTGGCAGGTCTAATTCACATATATATATAGTGGCAGGTCCAATTCACATATATAAAGTGTCAGGTCCAATTCACATATATAGAGTGGCAGGTCCAATTCACATATATAGAGTGGCAGGTCCAATTCACATATATAGAGTGGCAGGTCCAATTCACATATATGGCAGGTCAAATTCAAATTTATAGAGTGGCAGGTCCAGGTTTAAAGGCTACTGTAGTGAAACATTAATTTCCTTCTTAGAATAAAATAAAATATTATTTTAAGCTTGTGCAATACTGGCTTTTCTTACTCCTCCTCTTCTTACAACTTCTGTTGGATTTGAACTAGTTGTTGTTATAAGACTTCTACAGGTGACTGGGATTATGTAAATGAGTACTTGGGTGGGTCGATTTTTCCTTTGTTCTCCGTAGAATTCAAAAACTGGCGGTTTAAGAGAGCTGAGAGTTATTTTAAGAAGAAAAAAATAAAACATAAATGTGAGTTGTGAGACCAAAAATCTTTAACGAGAGAGGATTTCAAAAAATCTGATGAAGATGTTAAAATATCAAAATACTAAATTAAGGTTTCTTTAACTAGTTAGAAACAAAATACATGGTAAAAACGTGTTTTTGGTTTAAATAAATTCTTTTATCTTTCCAACCTAATACCGTAGAACTTTGATGTTTCAAACTAGGAATTCTGTTTGATCGAAAAGGCGAAGTTTGAACTATGAAAGATTACCGCGCCACTAGGTTGCAAAGATAAATGGATTAGAAAATTTGAGTTTGCAGTAAGTAATCAGTTCATAAGGATTTGAATTAAGTCTTTAAAAAAGTGTGTACTTGAAATTCACAAAATAAACATTTTTTTTATATATATAAGTAATTAAGGGTTTATGTGAGGCTGTAGCTTTCCCGGCATTGAACCCAATGATCTCAAAATGGGTGCCAGAAGCTGAAAAATATAGTTTCGTCTCATTTGTTTATTCTGGAGGAACCTTTGGTACAATATTCACATATCCACTGTGTGGATATATCCTGGATACAGTTGGATGGGAGGTAGGAACTATATATGGATACATTTGGTTGGGAGGTAGGATCTATATATGGATACTGTTAGATGGGAGGTAGGAACTATATATGGATACTGTTAGATGGGAGGTAGGAACTATATATAGATACTGTTAGATGGGAGGTAGGATCTATATATGGATACTGTTGGATGGGAGGTAGGATCTATATATGGATACTGTTCGATGGGAGGTAGGAACTATATATAGATACTGTTAGATGGGAGGTAGGAACTCTATATATAGATACTGTTGGATGGGAGGTAGGAACTATATATGGATACTGTTAGATAGGAGGTAGGATCTATATATAGATACTGTTAGATGGGAGGTAGGATCTATATATAGATATTGTTAGATGGGAGGTAGGATCTATATATAGATATTGTTAGATGGGAGGTAGGATCTATATATAGATATTGTTAGATGGGAGGTAGGATCTATATATAGATATTGTTAGATGGGAGGTAGGATCTATATATAGATACTGTTAGATGGGAGGTAGGATCTATATATAGATATTGTTAGATGGGAGGTAGGAACTATATAACTCTCCACTGTTAACTAGGAAGAACCTGTCCTCTGTAGATTGTAATGTTCTCGGTCTTAACTGTCTTAACTAAATCTTAAATCGTGGTACATGTTCCCACAAGCCTTACTAATTAGGCAAACTAACTAACTACCTTAAGCTTAACTGCAATGTAGAAAATGTACAATGTAGAAAATGTAAATATCTAAACTTTAACTGCAATGTAGAAAATGTAAAATGTAGAAAATGTACAATGTAACTCAATAAGTTTTGTATAAGTATTAGGAACTTCTAATTAAATATTCTAAGTGTACTTCCAGACACAGAAGTTCAATATTTTAATTTTGAAAAGAAAATGATACTGTTAGATGGGAGGTAGGATCTATATATAGATCCTGTTAGATGGGAGGTAGGAGCTATATATAGATACTGTTAGATGGGAGGTAGGAACTCTATTTATAGATACTGTTAGATAGGAGGTAGGATCTATAAATGGATACTGTTAGATGGGAGGTAGGAACTGTATATAGATACTGTTGGATGGGAGGTAGGATCTATATATAGATATTGTTAGATGGGAGGTAGGATCTATATATGGATACTGTTAGATGGGAGGTAGGAACTATATATAGATACTGTTGGATGGGAGGTAAGATCTATATATTGATATTGTCAGATGGGAGGTAGGAACTCTATATGGATACTGTTAGATGGGAGGTAGGATCTATATATAGATACTGTTAGATGGGAGGTAGGATCTATATATAGAACTGTTAGATGGGAGGTAGGATCTATATATGGATACTGTTAGATGGGAGGTAGGAACTCTATATGGATACTGTTAGATGGGAGGTAGGATCTATATATAGATACTGTTAGATGGGAGGTAGGATCTATATATAGATACTGTTAGGTGGGAGGTGGGATCTATATATGGATACTGTTAGATGGGAGGTAGGATCTATATATAGATACTGTTAGATGGGAGGTAGGAACTCTGTATGGATACTGTTAGATGGGAGGTAGGATCAATATATAGATACTGTTAGATGGGAGGTAGGATCTATATATAGATACTGTTAGGTGGGAGGTAGGATCTATATATTGATACTGTTAGATGGGAGGTAGGATTTATATATAGATACTGTTAGATGGGAGGTAGGAACTCTATATGGATACTGTTAGATGGGAGGTAGGATCTATATATAGATACTGTTAGATGGGAGGTAGGATCTATATATAGATACTGTTAGATGGGAGGTAGAATCTATATATAAAGACACTTATAGATTGGAGGTAGGATCTATATATAGATACTGTTAGATGGGAGGTAGGATCTATATATAGATACTGTTAGATTGGAGGTAGGATCTATATATAGATAGATATAAATCTTATTGAGGGGTTTTATTGTATAGCCAAAATTCTACATGCTTGTAAAGGAATACATGGTTAATTTGTTATCAATTTATAAAATGGTAAAAACTATTCTGAATTGAATTATAATTTCAAATCTTTAGTACAGCTAAAGAATAACAGATTATATACTTCAGGCAGTGTTTTATGTGACAGGAGGTATAACAATGGTTTGGTTCATTCTCTGGATGATTTTAGTGACAGATCTTCCTGAAAACCATCCTTCAATCAAACAAAGGGTTAAATAATCGATCACTTTGAACAATACACAAGTCAGTTTTGTCCTTTTATCACTCATGATATTTTGAAAAAAGAAAAGCCAAAAATAGTTTTTTTTTCTTTCTATAAAGGAATTGAGTCTTTGCCACAAACTCTGATTTTAAAAACCTAATTTCTTTAAAACCAAATGTCGTAGACCGTAGATATTTCAAACTATGAATTCTGGTGGATCAAACAATGTAAGTTTGAAATATGAAAGGTATGCATCATCTGGTTGTTGAGATATAGGTATTAAAAAATTGGGATTTGTGGCAAAAACTCAATTCCTTTGTGGCTTAGATCTAACACTTCAGAGACGACTATGGAATTTTACTGTCTTATATTCACAAATCCCACTGTTTCCTTCTTTACCAAATCCTTAAATAAGCCATATTTGAGGCAGAAAACTTAGTTCGACCTTAGTCATATTTTAAGGTTTTCAGGTCGTTTTGTACAGTATAATTTATATTTGTAGCATTTTGTCAAATAGTAATATATGATGAATAGGAATTTGAAATATCTTTCCAAATATGCTAAAATATTATCATATCTCAAGATTACAATGATTTACAAAAATAACATAGGTTTCTATTGATTTTCAAAATCTTTAAAAATTAATTTTTAAAGAGAATTCGCCTAATCGGAAAAAAAAGCAACGACAGTGGAATTAAACTCATGTTTCTTGGACATTTTTGCACCTGCGCTGCGCATGGGATCTAATAAAAGGTTTTATTTATCCTTCTTGCATAGCTTGAGACAATTTCTCATGGATTTTTTAGTGAGGAACTTGCAACCTTTGGACGTTTGGATAACTGAGAATTAAAACCATGGGCATTTCCATCACCTGTGGAGTGTGGAGGGCAAAAAAAGAAAAATTCATTTCTAAATGTTTCAAAATATGTAATTTGCATGTGAAAATATTTGCTTATGTAATTTTTGTCTTGTCATTGATATTTTGGGGCTATGGTTTTTTCTCATATTTTCGAAGAATTTCAATTTGATTGGGTCGTCTATCTAAGAAACTACTATAATTCTCTTTTATTTCCCTGAATCCTTTGATTATTATAATCTTGTTATATCAAGGAGCTAGATTTCGTATTGAAGACAAGAAACTACAAACTATTAGAAAATACATCTGAAAAGGAAGTTCCAATCCTGCAATTAATCAAGTAAGAAAATTATTATCAACCCCGTTCCGCCTTTTTTCTGATCCATATCTATTTTATCATTCTTGGTGGTATTTTTGCCACTCATAAATAAATTTGTCAAATTAGTAATATATTTTTGAAATATTGTCAAAGAGTAAGCATATATATTGTTTGAACATTTTTGATCGAGTTCTAAATGAGAATATATAAAATGTTGAAATTTGTAAATATGTTTGGAAGATTTTAAATTTTAAAAATATTTGTTGTTGAGTCCTCCAACTGTTTTACTAATGTTGTTGTTTAGTGGCCTTTTGTTGTTTCTTCCTACTGTTGTCCCAATGCTGTTGTTGTTTAGGGGTTTCTTGTAGAGTCTTCCCACTGTTGTCCTAATGCTGTTGTGGTTCAGGGATTTGTTGTTGAGTCCTCCAACTATTGTCCTAATGTTGTTGATTTAGGGATTTGTTGTTGAGTTCTCCAACTGTTGTCCTAATGCTGTTGTTGTTTAGGGATTTTTTGTTGAGTCTTCCCACTTTTGTCCTAATGTTGTTGTTTAGGGATTTGTTGTTGAGTCCTCCAACTGTTGTGCTAATGTGCTGTGAGTTTGCCAATTCCTGGGGATTGTACACCCTTGTTACCCTTGGACCAACATTCTTCAAGGAGGTTCTAAACTTTGATATCTCACAGGTTTAAATACATTTTTTTTTGAAAATGCGCCAATTCGAAAACAGAAATCCGCCAAAATTTGAAAATTTTTTAAATGGCCGACTTTGAGAGCAACAGTTAAAAGCTTAAAATATTTACAGGAAAGGAGTATTTGTATACTACACAATGCCCATTTTACTCAATTTTACTGTTTACTACTAGCTTTAAAACAATTTCTTTAAGGGAGTGACCGGCTAAGTAATTTAATTGAACTGAGTATGCAGTGTTGTCGAAAACTTCTTTATAGGATTCATTTGAGACATATTTCACTTTTTAAAGATCTGTAAATCCTGAGTTTGAGCGCAAATTCGACGTTCAAAACTCCTGATTTGGGGGTGGATACGCTTTCAGAATTAGTTTTTTTTTAAATTATTAAATAACGACAACGAAAAATAAAGTAAAAATTATACAGTAATTTAATTTGATGGCTAGGAACATATTTCACAAAAAAATTTGTCAATAAATCAATGCTAAAATCGATTATTCCGTTTTCATTATTATATTGAATTTATAATTTTCTTTGAATTTATTCGCAGATTTCTACAAATTCTTTAAATGTCGTCTTTTCAATAATAATTATAGAAAATTGCGAACATCTTTGTTAATAACGAGAAACTAGAAAAATGAGATAATAGAAACTAATGATTGAACAAGATTACTTATTTTCGATGATAAGATTAATTTTTATTTTATCAAAATGTTCCTAAACATGACGTCTCTAGTTTATTGTAGAATAAAACAAATTCTGAAAGCGTATCCACCCCCGAATCAGGAGTTTTGAACGTTGTATTTGCGCTCAAACTCAGGATTTACAGACTTTTAAAAAGTAAAATATGTCTCAAATGAATCCTAAAGAAATTTTCCACAACACTGCGTCCTCAGTTCAACTACCTTACATAGCCGGTCACTCCCTTTAATTGTCGTCTTTATGTTCCATTTCTCGCGAGAAATTTAGCCATGGCTACTTGGCTACTGGTTTCATGTTAAGCTTGAAATTTGAACTAACAGTGGGTTCTAAATCCATTTCATTAAGGATGTGTGTCTTTGAAACAAACTCAAAGTTTTTAATTTCGTAATCCAAAATTCTGTTTTTTATTATTCTAAACTTATTTTTCCATTTCAGAATGGGTATTTGAGTGCTCTGCCCTATATTGGTAGGTTTACAGGAGCTCAAGTTTTTGGATCTATATCAGGATTCATAGTTGCTAGGTAGGTTCAGCTATTCATTTACATTAAATATATCAGGATTCATAGTTGCTAGGTATGTTCAGCTAATCATTTACATTAAATATATCAGGATTCATAGTTGCTAGGTAGGTAGAGCTAAACAGGTACCTAAACAGGTACCTAAACAGGTACCTGAACAGGTAACTAAACAGGTACTTAAACAGGTACCAAAACAGAAGACAGAAGACAAAAAAGCTAGTATATGGCATGGAAGTGAAACAAAATCCGTCTTATGGCCGCTTGCCTTCTCCCTCTCTTTTCAAAGTGAGGTTTATCTAATGTAGCTGCTCTCATTCATTGAAATTTTCAAGTAAAATTAAATCAATATGACACGCATCGGACATATTTTCAAATAATTTTTGTTGAACGAACAATAAAATTAGGAAAATCCATTACACTGAACACAGGAACAGAGGTCGAACCTCAATGCTTGATCTCAATATCTAAATTTGGCATTTAAATTTGAAGATAAATAGTGAGGGTTTCCAGTCGTAATTACGCCTAACACTTTCTTTCGCTTAAGCAGGAACATTACGCGAAATTACGTGTTAATTACGTATACAAAGGAAAGTCTAGTTTTGCGTAATTAAGGCCTAATTATGAAAAAATTACGTAATATGAAACCATTCTGTAATAAACAAAGCACATATTAATTCTCAGAAATGAATATAGCGGGACAACATGTGTAAGGATATGCACGCTACAACCATGTCCAATCTGATTGGATAATTTAAATACTTTCAACTTGAAGTTTCTCTAATTAGGCGTAATTAGTGCCGAATTTCGCGAAATTACTGTAGAGAAATTACGCCAAATTACGGCGTAGTTTCGTAAAATAGTAGTTTTGCTGATAACGTGTAATTATTACAAAATTTCGCTTATTACACATTTCGTGAAATTGAAGTATCACCAATTACACGTAATCCTGCGAAATCACACGAAAAAAAATTATTTCGCGTAACTGCACGTAATTTTCCGCAAGTGACTAATCTATTACGTTGGAATCCGTGTATAGTTTATCACTCAATTAAAGTTATCCCTGCAGGATATGACAACATCGGGATAAAGAAGAGGATTTTAATTAAACTGCATAAGATTCAGAACAATGCTTGATTCCAAGATTCACACCGCTCGACAAGGTCTGATTTCAGACTTCTAGAACGGTTAAGCATACTAAATGCCAACATTGGAATCAGTGATCTTAAGTGTTTGAGATTATCGATTTACTTCCACGCAAAAATTCCAACCTCTGGTTACTTAATTGAACGAGCTATTTACGCTTGATTAACTTCTAAACACGGTAATGGCCTCGAGTAACTAGATCCAAAACAATTTTATTTCAATCACTAAAATAAAATTTATCACGTACCGGGATTTAAATGTTGCAAGCTTTCACCCAAAAATCGATGAAAATTTTGTCAATTTCTTCTTAAAGACTTTATCTCAAAACAAGTGCTTTATAGTATTAAAATGCATATGTTTAGGGCTACATAAAAGCAAAAGTGTATGAGCTGTAAAATCAAAGCCCAACGGAAAATATAGATTTTTAGAATAAACTGTGTATTTTATAACAGAGAATACCTGAGACCCCTGACAATGCAGAAAATATGTGTTTGTTTAGAATTTCTTATTCCAGCCGCAGGTTTGTTTGCTTTTAACATCTATCAAATAATAACATGAAAATAAATCTAGTGTAGGGTTTGCACTCCATACAACAATACACATACAGGGTGTCTCTAAAAAAATGCCGTTTAAACCTTCAAAAGTGTACCTCATATTCTCATATTCTCATATTCTCATATTCTCATATTCTCATATTCTCATATTCTCATATTCTCATATTCTCATATTCTCATATTCTCATATTATCATTATCATATTCTCATATTATTATTATCATATTCTCATATTATCATTTTCGATCCTCATGTTCATGAATGCCAAAATCTTTTTTTGGTCAAAAAAGAAATCTGGGTTTGCCGAAGACAATTAAAATGCACATTTCTTTAATATGAATTTAGGCTTTGATCTTGCAAAGTATTGCTATCGAATTTTAATCTTCTTAAAAATTACAAATTACACTGCTGTTTTCATCCAGGGTTCCATACCCACAAAAGATGAGAGTGTAAAGACGTCCTGAAACTGTTTAAAAAGGAAAGAAAAAAGTTTATAGTACAGTTTCTGTACAACCATCTCTAAAGTCTCATCCTTTGTGGGTAACCCTGTAATGTATATCGTTTAGTGATTAGAGAACCTTTGAATGATTGTTGTCTTCGTTCTTTTTTTTATCTGGAAGTGTTGCTATGAATGTTGTAATTTGTAATTTGTAACTCTTATATTTCTATATTTCCCTTAATTCTAAGAAAAAAGACGACATTCATTAACATTGGTTTATGTTTCATATTTGAATGGTCTTAAACCTTTACCTTTTCCATCTTTCAAGGCCAATTTAAACCAAAATGTTTAAGCTCTACTTATTTTCTGAAATAAGAAATATTTGCACACTATTAAAAAAAAAATAATGAAAAAACTGCTTTTATCATAATAAAAAACTGATATTTGTAAATTAAGCAAAATGATATGATACATGGTGTCCCAAAAAACTTGGGAATTCAGTGACGAATTCGATATCGTCTTTGTTATGAATGAGCATTGTAATACCTAATTTCAAAAGCTGTAAAGATGTGTCTATAATGTCTAGTACTGAGCTGAAAACTTTAGAATGAGATATCCTGAATCCCGACTACTTAATCTGAGTATCCAATGGACACACTTTTGATTTTCTTCTTAAACCACTCTTTCTTGGATATGGTAGAGAAAAATCAAAAACCGGTTTTTTTAAATTGAGAGTCCCTCCCGTTTCTGTATGTTAATCTGAAATGACGCGCAAAATTTCAAATTTACCAGCTTCTTATACGCGACTCTCATTCGTTAAATTTTATAAACTTTTCTAAATACAAGTACAAAATTAGGTTAGTTTTGAAATTAAGAAAAAGAGAGGATCAAGCATTAATCTCGATATCCACCATTCTAAAGTTTTCAGCTCTTAACTAAAAAAAACGGTTTTTGATTTTTCTGTACTATATCCAAAAAAGAATGGATTAAGCAAGAAATCAAAAGTGTTTACATTGAATATTCGGATTAAGCAGCCAGGAAGTTCCCAGCTCTTTATTGTATGCATCATATATAAGTGCTGTTTTGCATTGCATTTGAACATAATATACAGTATGTATATGTAAAATACTGTATTGAATTTTATGTGTGCTACGGGGTGTGTGTAAGGGGGGTGTATGTAAGTGTGCTCTAATTGTATTTTATGTTTCCTTTTTTTGTATGCATGTATGTTGTATGACAGTAATGTAAGCATGTTGTTTAGTCTGTATTTATGTAAGTTGTTTTGTGTCTATGTATGTTTACTTTACTGTATATCTGTATATGTATCTATTGTAAAGTCTATAATTGAGAAGATCTTCAAGCTTAATTCTCAACATATTTATAGAATTTGTAATATATTTATATCCTAAGAATATCAGTAAATATATAATCTTCACAGTATGATACTAAGCTATTAGGGCACTTCGTGCCCATCTACTATTTCAACTTTATCTATAAGCATCTTCTCTTTGACAAAATAAAACAAAAACAAAGAAGTACGCAGATTTAATGATATATTTTACGCATTTTCAAAATTTTACAAAAAACTTTAAAAAATTTACAAAAAATTTTAAAAATTTTGGACAACATTTTTTAAAAATTATTGAGCATCCATAAACCTTCCCTGGGATGATATGATGTCCACACACAAAATTTGGGCCCGATCGGTTCAGCCGTTTTGACGTTTATAATTTTTTTTATAAATGTACAGCTGCTGAATATATCTGTTTGTATGATATACTGTATATTGTATTTATGTTGTAAATGTATATTCTGTTTGAATGATGTACTGTATTGTATATATGCTACATAGTGTGTTTGTATGATACACTGTATTGTTTATATGTTGTATAGTCTGTCTGTATGATACTTTGTATTGTATATATGTTGTATAGTCTGCATGTATGATATACTGTATTGTTTATATGTTGCATAGTCTGTATGTATGATACACTGTTTTGTATATATGTTGTATAGTCTGTCTGTATGATACTTTGTATTGTATATATGTTGTATAGTCTGCATGTATGATATACTGTATTGTTTATATGTTGTATAGTCTGTATGTATGATATACAGTATTGTATATATGTTGTATAGTCTTTATGTATGATATACTATATTGTAATTATGTTGTATAGTCTGTTTATATGATATACTGTATTGTTATTATGTTGTATAGTCTGTTTATATTAGCATCTGTCTTTTATAAGAATTAAATCCTTTATAATTGATTAATCAGTGAACCAACGAAAGTTCCACAATAATTGCTATTTCAAAATAATATTTGCATTGGAACGGATATTTGAAATTCTGGTTTTGTTGAATTATTTCCAAGTAGAATTTCCTTTGAGATAACAAGAGGCACCTCTGCTTAGGTTTCAGCTGATCCTAGTAGTTGTACTTTATGATCTATTTCCCCTTTAACTAAGATTTGGTTGAGTAACGAAACTTGGTTGTAGTTACACTTTAACTCCCTCTCTTTCTGTCTCCTAGATCGATAAAGAATTGGATAGGTAGCATCAGTATACTGTATAGTTTATATGTTGTATAGTCTATATGTATGATATACTGTATTGTTTATATGTTGTATAGTCTGTATGTATGATATACTGTATTGTTTATATGTTGTAAAGTCTGTATGTAATGTATCATGTATGATATACTGTATTGAATTTATGTTGTAAAGTCTGTATGCATGATATGCTGTATTGTATATATGTTGTATAGTCTGTATGTATGATATGCTGTATTGTATATATGTTGTATAGTCTGTTTATATGATATACTGTATTGTATAAATGTTGTGTAGTCTGTATGTATGATACATTGCAGTGTATATATGTTGTATACTGTATAGTCTGTATGTATGATGTACAGTATTGTATGTATGTTGTCTAGTCTGTATGTATGATACTTTGTATTGTATATATGTTGTATAGTCTGTATGTATGATGTACAGTATTGTATGTATGATATACTATATTGTTATTATGTTGTATAGTCTGTATGTATGATACTTTGTATTGTATATATGTTGTATAGTCTGTATGTATGATGTACAGTATTGTATGTATGTTGTATAGTCTGTATGTATGATGTACAGTATTGTATGTATGATATACTATATTGTTATTATGTTGTATAGTCTGTATGTATGATACTTTGTATTGTATATATGTTGTATAGTCTGTATGTATGATGTACAGTATTGTATGTATGCTGTATAGTCTGTATATATGATATACTATATTGTTATTATGTTGTCTAGTCTGTATGTATGATACTTTGTATTGTATATATGTTGTATAGTCTGTATGTATGATGTACAGTATTGTATGTATGTTGTATAGTCTGTATGTATGATATACTATATTTTTATTATGTTGTATAGTCTGTATGTATGATATACTGTATTGTATATATGTTGTATAGTCTGTATGTATGATATACTATATTTTTATTATGTTGTATAGTCTGTATGTATGATATACTGTTTTGTATATATGTTGTATAGTCTGTATGTATGATATACTGTATGTTGTATAGTCTGAAAGTGTGTTGCGACTATAGACCAATATTAAGCAGTGTGGTATATACAGTTTTAAATACTATAGCAACCAATATATACACTCCACTATATTAGTAACTTTACCGGATACATTTAAGAAATATATAATCAAAGAGAATTTGNTGTCATTGACTCTTAAACTTTACAATAAATATGGACCAAAGCACTGACCAATGTATCCCAAATTTGATTTTTTAAAATCATTTAAATTATTAATTGCACCCAATACCAAGTCTTTTATTAAACACGAGGAATAAAATCCGCCATTAATGTTTTACAGAATAAAATCTAAGTTAACCCTCCATTTTAAAATGTATTACGAAAACTTAAAGTCGTCATCCGTATATTGGAAATTTATGCAAATTCTGGATTTTTGGGAGAATTTGTAAGCCTTTAGGAGATAATTAAACAGCCAATAATAAGCATAGCACACATATTTAATGTATATTTTATCTTTCAATCTTAATAAATTACAAATAGAATTATAATAAACAGTTAAAGGCAATTCTTAATAATAACTTTCATACATTATCTCTGGTTTTAGCGGTTTTATTGCAGCCATAATCTCGGACTCAAGGACTAAACTCAAAGTTGCTCACAGAACTGAACGGTGTAAATTAAAAAGGGTTCCCGCAGACATTTTATATTCTAGAACTCTCAATATTGGCAATAAAAGCTTGCGAATTCATATTTCCCTAATATTAGTTATAATGAAACTGTTCATGCAAAAAAAAATCGGATTTGAAAATTTATTTTTGGTTATCTGCGACCCGGCGATGCAAATTGCAGCTGCCTGCTATAGCTGTACAGTAGACATTACATAGACTCTATAAATCCTTCTACAGTCTACATAGGCTTTTATTTGCGTCCATCTCCTTCTTCTTTTCAGGGTTGGCAGGGCAAGGATTATATTGTTATCTTTATATAGTTTGCTATTTATCATGTTATCAGCAATACAAGATGCTAGATTTTAATGTTTCAGTCATTAATGAAAGATATTTGAAGATACTTAGCAGAGCTTCCTAACCGATTTTTTTAGTTTTGTATTTACTATAAGGATTTTTGCCATTCTCTTTATTACATTTTTCACTTAATTTGGACACCTAAACATGAGAGGAAATCTTTTTGCGTAATCGTCTCAATTTTTAAAAATCTTATTGAAACTTCTTAATGTGTATGATTTTGAAAATTTTCAGCCCAATATTCGTAATTTACAAGACGTTAGAGAAGAAATACTTGGTGGGAACCTTTTTTAATGTACGCCCTTTAGGACTCAGACGTGGACTCCATAGGACTGGATATGAATTTGGACAGGCTTCAGAAAAAGATGCCTTTTGATGTTAAAATTGCATTATTGCAAAAAAAACCAAATGTTTGATATCCTTTAAGACGGCCGAAATACGGAAGTTTTAGTAATCTAGTTTAGCAACTCTTAAATCCCTCCTTTTTGTGTAAAATTGTTGTAAGACCCAATAAAGTCAAACAGGAAAAAAGAATTTACCGAAACTAGGCTTACAGGGCCCTTCGCGCCCATCTTCTATTTCAATCGTGAACATTTTCTCTTTTTGTATATGTACATTGTGAAACAAAAACAAAAAATATTCGCATCTTTTTATGATAGATGAAAGATTTTGAAAGGTTGCTTACACCAAGCTACTAAAAGTCTTACAAAAATTTAGCAAATTTGATTAAATCCAAAATATTCATTTCAAAATACAGTTTTCCTCAATAGGGTTAAAGACGTTAGTTCACTTTTCATTTGATTTGTTTCAAAACGTTGTTTTCCTCTAAAATATCACATTGTTTGATTATCCTGAAATGCATAGAGTGCATGAAAGTGTTGAGCTGCGCGTGTGATGAGTAATTATTATTTGCCAGGAAATAGACAGGGTGTCAAAAATAAGGGTGATTTTGTTTGCTTTTTTATGAACTTTAAAGCTATGTGATCAAATTTCCGCTCAAGTATGAATATCTTTGTTCACCAAGATATTGTTAAACTATGGAACTAATAGTTTTGTTCTAAATTTATGTACTTAATGACCAAATTTGTCTAACAAAAATATTTACAATATTACTGAGAACTTAACCCGACTAATGATAAGACGATTAAATCCGCCAATTTTGTCATTTATATATAGATTGCTAGAGTTGTGCATGATGACGGAGGGCCGAGGGGGTGGGGGTTGACCCCCCCCAAAAAAAACGCCTCTAATGGCATTTTTCTTGAGATACGCCTACACGGAAAAAGCGTATAACTTAAAATCAGATGTCTCGATTTTCGAATTTATGTCTGTTTGAGTTTAAAAGCATGAATGCAAATAATTCGGAAATATATTTTTTCATTATTAACTCTATGCACATATCATATATATATCAGTCAACCGTTAAATATTGCAATAACAATTTTAATCAAAAAGTTCAAAGAGGACTTTCATTTAACTGTTCCTGTATACAGGTTATGACATATATGGTTATTGGTTACCCACCAAAAAGGAGACTTTATTGAGTCTTTAAATCTGAGTGCGAAAAAAGACTGAATAAATTTGTCTCTGAAGCCTCATCCTTTAAGTGTAACCCTGTAAATTATCTGCTGATCTAAATATTATTAACTGACCATATTTTTTTCTTGCTCGGTTTACACCAAAACAGAATTTTTCAATTTAGACTTTTCAGGAATTTTCGATTATTGTTTTTCTTATGAGCGAAATGCCAGTGATTGATAAAAAATTGAATTTTATTCACATTACTCAGTCCTTGGGCTTAGAAAACTCAAACGAAAATTCCTAAAAAATGATTTGCAAAATATCAATGATTGATAGAAAACAATTTATCAAAACAAGGATACAGCCGACTGACCACAGAGTGTCCAAATTAATCAAAAAAAAACTAACTTAATCATGACTCACTTCCCATTTAAAGAACCTCCACTAAATTTTTCAGGGGGAGGGCCTCTCACATTGCCTCCCCCCTTAAGCCGCCTCTGTCACAGGAAATTCTAAAACCATCAATTTTGTATTAAAGATTTCTAATTTTTCGCCGGTTTATATGTTACTATTAAAAACTGAAAAAGGTCATACAAATTTTTTAAAACGCGGTCACTTTTTGAGACACCTGATACCGTAAATTCTCAATTATGTATCGTATAATTTAGATAAATACACATAATACCCTGGGGTTTCACATACCGGTGTCTTATATCCGCATATATCTGGATTCAAAGCGTCATCGAGCGTACCGTCTTGAGCGTAACTTTAACATAACCTGAAACCGGCAACTTGGGCATCCTTTGTTTCAAGAAAATTAAAATAACAGGATTTAAATAGAATAGCGCGATATTTGTACCGCAGTTGATTTCTGTAGTTGTTTCGTGTTTATTGTTTTCCGCAATTTTAGAAAATCAAACTATGGTAAGTCAGAATGTACTTTAAACAGTTTTTACTTTTCATGGTTAAACCGTTTCTATGCTGGGTTTTTACTATGAACAGTACAAAGGTTCAGTTTAAAAGTACAAGTTGATCTAAACTCATGTCTATGAGGTCTGACACATAACACATGCATCAAACTCTAATTTTCTAGTCCTTAAAGTAGTACAAATTATTCTAATCTATAAACTTGCAGTAAGCAGGATATGGCATTGTAGTTAAGGGCAAAAGTGAGATTTTAAAGTATCTTTTTATATGATGTAATTATACTTTAATGGAATACATGCATATAATTTCAAGTGACCCTCCATTTATAGAGTAGCATGTCCGATGTACCTTTGAAACCTTCATTTCTCCATCGTTTCTGTAGCAAGAAATGCATGAGTCACTTTTGTAGAGAAACCACAGATGAAAATAATCAGTTATAAAAATGGGAAACATGGATATTTAATGCAAAACTTGATCCGACAAAGCTTTGAAGACAAAGCTTTGTTAATCAGAATTGAAATTATGTCTGCAGTCACTTTAAACCTCTCAATTGATTCTATATTAATTAAACTGCTTTGTAGGTTTGTGAACTTTGAAGAAATGAAAAAGAAATTTACAAAATGATTTTTAAAAAAGATAATGAGAAGCTTTAAAAGTACTGCCTCAAAAATCAAGACTGAGTTTTTTTTTCTCAACAAATCTCCAAATGTAATATTAAATAAGCCCCCCCCTTGCGTGACTCCCAGGGGGGGGCAACGCGTAAGGGGGTTCGTGCACCCAGGCCCCCCTCCCCTGGATATAGTCGCTTTTTAGTTTGAAAGCCGAAAACGTAAAATCGAATTTACAATCCCTTTAAAGAAAAAAAATATCTAATACCTTTCATTGGATTTGATTTACATCCTATGTATAAAGGCTGCACAGGTTGCAAGTATGTCACTCTTTTGTGCGTCCTCTTTACGAAAGTCTCAGAAATGCGTCCTACTTAGTCTAGGGTTAAATGGACATACTACGTGAATTTTGATGAGTAATAATTCTACAGGAAAACCACAATTGAAAATAATCAATTAAAAGATAGGAAAAGAAGGATACCCGATTTAATCTAGACAACTAGGTGTATGGCTGTGAATCGTACATAATCCTGTCAAAATGGTCTTTGTATCTTATCCATCTAATTATAAAACTTAGATTATTTGATCTCACAAAACTCATAGTTTGGGTGCAAAAAAATAGAATCGTGAAAATCGGAGCTTGTTACACAGATTCAATTCCATTTGCTTTTTTTTTTTCTGTTTGTTTGGATCCAATAAACGTCAAACCCTACGGCTAAACCTATCGGTCCCAATTTTGTGTTGCAACTAGCTGGCATGCCCCTATGGAAGTTTTATAAACGGTCAAATTTGACAAGTTTTAAAAATGTTAACATTTATTATTTCTGAAAATCCACAATTTTAAATGTTACACAGAAAAATCCGTGAAAACCTTGGTTTATTGGAGAAGATTGAAAAAATGTAGATTTGAAAAGTAACAGCTAAAAGCTAAAATTGTTACGAGCTAAGAGGTGCAAAGCGCCCTTCCCGTAAAGCTTAGTATGAATATTTTCAGACACTCTATCAGTGATTGGTTAGAATTCCCAAAAATATCCAAAACATATTCATACACTAGTTTGAATTTGTTGAATTCCAATGAAAGTGTAAACCTGTGATTAGAGATTTCAGTGTATTTTAGGGCGTTCACCTGTTCGGTCGGTAATAGTACGATAATAGTACGATGATAGTACGGTGATAGTTCTATGACAGTGCGGTGATATTACGGTGATAGTACGGTGATAGCACGGGTAATAGTACGGTAATAGTACGGTAATAGTACGGTAATAGTACGGTGATAGTACGGTGATAGCACGGTAATAGTACGGTTATAGTACGGTAATAGTACGGTAATAGTACGGTAATAGTACGGTGATAGTACTATGACAGTGCGGTGATAGTACGGTGATAGTACGGTGATAGCACGGTAATAGTACGGTAATAGTACGGTAATAGTACGGTAATAGTACGGTAATAGTACGGTGATAGTACTATGACAGTGCGGTGATAGTACGGTGATAGTATGGTGATAGCACGGTAATAGTACGGTAATAGTACGGTAATAGTATGGTGATAGTACTATGACAGTGCGGGGATAGTACGGTGATAGTACGGTGATAGCACGGTAATTGTACGGTAATAGTACGGTAATAGTACGGTAATAATACGGTAATAGTACGGTGATAGTACGGTGATAGTACGTTTTAGATAAAAGAACCAGGATAACTCGACACAAACTCTTTATTCTTTGATAATGTTTAAAACTGCTAAAAGTATTTAGAAAAATTTTAAATTGAATAACAGAATATAAGTCCCATGGCAAATTTAATACATTTTGTAGAAATTCTATTATTTTCTTCGTTTAACCAGTCTTCAGATATTTTGCTTAACAATACTTTTTTCAGATTGGATAGACTTACACTTACACCACCTTTTGCATAATCATTTCTACATCATGGCAGAAGTAACAAAAAATACTTCTAATGATTCTATTGCTGATGAACCACCGCCATATTCTGTTGTTATTCTATCTAGCAGTCCAGAAACATGCAAGGAGAATGAAAATGAGCCTGAAAATCCACAAGCTGAAAAATCAGTCAAGAAACCAATACCATCTTCATTAATGGCTTCTTTCTTTTCCCCTCTCAGTTCAAGGATATCTCCAGAGAAAATGGAGATTGGACGAAACTGCTGCAACCGATCAACAGGCCTACTCCTGGCATTTGCCTCTGGAATTCTCATGACAGCATACTCTGCTATGATTAAGTTCCTAGATGAAATGGATAGCATGCAAGTAGTTATTATAAGAGGCACCATGCAGGCAGTCATACTCGGAAGCGTTGCAGCCTATAATAAAAGCTCGTTTATAGGTAAACGAGAACGATGGGTTCCTCTTTTACTTTTCCTTGTGGCATTTACTGGAGGATTACGAATTCTGTTCATATTTACTTCAGTGTCAAGATTACCGCTAGGGGACTCTACAACTATACTCTTCTCATCTCCAGTATTTGTTATGGTCTTCTCAATCTTCTTACTCAAGGTATTACTTTCAGAGCTTAGAAACTTTGTTTTGGATACTCATAACTCCGATCACTTGATCTCGATATCCACTGTGGTCAGTTTTAATTTGAGGATAAATGCCTCTTCTATTTAGTTAATCCTCCCAAAAGCTCCCTTCAAGTTCAACCCCTAATAGATTAAGATTACCATTCGGGATATCAAATAAAGATTGAACTTATCCACAGATTAACACAAAGATCAAAATTAAAAATTGATCTCGCACTTTAGTTCAGTCCACCTAGTCCTATTGCATAAAATAGACCACATACTGGTTCCACTAGACGGGCTGGTACGGTAAAGACTAGACAGCATTGTTGTACTATAGTTCTGATCATGCAATTTTTAATCAATGTGCTCAATATCCACAATACAAATACTTCCAGCTCTCAATACTAAAGATTACTGAAAATTTGTTATTTGGTTTGTTAACAAATCAAAAACGCAAACATCGAAAGAGACAAAGTCTGATTAATCCATGAGTTTAGTACCTTTTACATCTATAACTATATAATAAACATCTCCTTGGTACCTTTTACATCTATAACTATATAATAAACATCTCCTTGGTACCTTTTACTACCTGGACCTTGTTTAGGAGAAGTGTGGAGTCTTCAAGCTGTTTGCTGGATCTGCTCTAGTTACTGGAGTAGTACTTATCTCTAAACCACCGTTTATATTCGGGTCCACTGGAACTCAAGATTATGATGTTCTAGGTGAGATCATATTTATCCAATAAACAATGATTTCACAAGGGAAAAAAGCTGAATTTAAAGAATTTGAGCCGCGTCGCTGAACCGCCAATAACCGGTTCCAATTTAGCGCCGCCGCGCCGGATCAAATCTCGAAACACTGATCATAGTTTCAAGAGAACCAGTGTTTTAACTGCATAGCTAACCGTGGTTCAAATTCTTTTAATTCGGCCTCAGTTCTCTTGATTTAAAGTTTGTAATTACTGGATTTAAAGTTAAGTTGCCAAAACTTATCAATATTTGAAACAAAAGCCCTCTGGTTTAATAATGTTATGAAAGACTTTACTTTTACCTGTTTACAAATAATTCTCATTAAGTCTTTGCTTTTATAATTTCACATTTTGTTGTAAGCTACATCGCAACGCAGTTTTAGATTGCAATTTTAGATTTTTATCTCACCTATATAAAGTCAAACATTTTTTTGATTGCTGAAATATAGATATGTATGTGACCCTAAAACAGTCTTGAAAGGAAAGGAAGGTGTGAGGATGGGGGTGTCTGTAAGTTTTAAGAGAGAGGCACCGAACTTTGTCTGCTTTTCTAGGGTTTTGAGATTTTTTAAAACATTGCAGTCCTTAAATTACCGTTTATTAGAATTAATCCTAGAAGTAGAATTTATTTCCGTGAAAAAATATACACAGTGAGAACCAGAAAATAGTGGATTTGTGTTCATTTTCTTTTTTTAGATTATGAATAAAGGGTTAAAGATCCAGTAATTAGTAAGAAGTGCCCTAAAAAAAAAGAAAGAAAAGAAACAACATTTTTTCAACAGTTCTCACAGTATCTATATTTCATTTATTTCTAGGCTATACACTTGTCTGCCTGGCATGCCTGATGTCTGCCCTGGGTGTGGTTCTAACCAAGAAAATAACAAAACAAGTTGATAAAAACGTTATCATGTTTTATCTTGGTGTTGGAACAGTAGTTTGTGGATTTATCGGTCTCTTTGGATTTGGGAAACCAAGCAATCCACCAGCCTGGGAGTGGGCGCTTAGTCTAGGTAAATAGTTTAGCTCATAATCTCATCAGAGATCTGAACTTTTCTATTGTGGATATTGAGATCAATACTTGAACTCTTTCTTTTATTAATCTGCAGATTTATTTAATCTTTATTTGATATTCCGCTTGGTGAGCAGAAGAATAACTATAATGAAGATACCGAAAGGTACAGTTTTTTTATAGATCCTTAAATTAAAAGTGCTCTCAGTGGATATCGATATCAAGCTATCCGAATAATTCGTATTCAACACAAAACTTCCCGCTCAAAGATCGGAAATTTTGTATAGACATTGTTCATTTCAATTTATGTCTGTATAGGGTTTATCCGGTTTTTTGTGTACTGTCAAATGTATATTGAAAATAAGAATAATTTTTAAAGCAAACTTTAGCAATTAAAATAAGAAAACTTCTCAAAGATCTTCTTGAGGGTCAAAAGAATAAAGCATTCCAGAATGCTTTTTAAAAATGGTTTTAATTTACCCAAATAATCTTAAGATGAGTTGTGGTTATCTATCGATTTTTAGCATTTAAAAAGGAATTCAATTAATCCGAAGGTCTAAGAGATTCAAAAGATCTGACTTCAGATCTTTAGCATAAAACGATAACGCTTAGGTTGTGAGTCAGGAATTTCAAAAGTATTTGTTTCAGGCATCTCTGGACTGGGTATGTTACAGCAGTATCTGTTTGTAATGGCTGTCACATTAGAGACCCCTTCAAGAGTTACAGTGGTTAGACAGTCACAGATTATTCTAGCATACATTGTGCAGGTAAAATTAGTTCTTTAGAAGGGAATGTAGAATGTAGATGGAATTTCAAATGGTCTTCCGCCGATTTTCTTCATTGTTTCCACAGCAGAAATGTGCACGAAACTATAACTTGAAAATAACAAATTTAAAAGAGAAAAACCTGGATGTCTCAATTATTTTTGAACAGACAATTGTTTTCAGGTACCGTTGTAAATCAAAAATGAAACTCTTTAAATGAAAGGTCACTTAAATTACGTATGCAAACCTCTTTAAACAAGTCCGTTACTTTTTGTTGCTGGACAAAAGGCTGCATTTTCCAGGCAATTTATGTAATCAGGCAAGTTACGTAATCAGGCACGTGGGTATCGTAAGAAACAAAGCATACTGCAGATATAATCAACAGTATCAATTTAGAACAGTTTTAACATCTATATCATTATCAAACCCTTATATTTTAAATACAAATTTTAATTATTTCTAAAAAGTAATATCTTTTATCGTTTATGATTGAATATCTATAGTTTTTAATATAAAAGAAATAAGGCCCATTGTCCTTCTTTTCTGGTTTATGACTAGCAGATTTAAAAATCAATTTTTTTCGGAAACAAATGTTGGAAAAAAACAACACTTTGTGTATAATATCGAAATGCCGAAACGTTTCAAGGTTTCGAACATTGATTTTGAAGTTAAAAACAGAAATGTTTCTAATTTCGAACGAAATGTTACGAAATGCTTTCAATATTGCCGACAAAATATTAGACTTCTTCTAACATGCTCAACCCTTGGTAGTTTAGCGTGAAAGATTTAATTTTCAGGCTGTTTTCTTCGACCTTACTCCTGGTTGGATGGATATACTGGGAGCAGGGATTATAGTTCTGACCATTCTTACAACTACTGCTGAAAACCAAATCAGGGGATTAGCAAGAACCTACTGCTCCTGTTTTAGGAGTTCTGAAATCCATCCAGAACAGGAGAAAGGAGAAAAGGAGAAAGATAAGAAAAACGTGGACGTAGAAATAGGAATCCCTGAGAAAGCTAATGCTATCAGTGAACCTGGAGAAAAGGGTTCAAATCTAGAAGATAAATGTGTCAAAGATTTGATCAAAGAAAAGAAAATGAAAGATGACTCTGTCTCTTTAAAAGACGTCAATATGATTTCTAATCTTGACGAAACTGAAAATACAGTAAATTCATTGAAAGAGGAGACAAGAAAAAGATAAACTCAAAAACCTGACAAATTGTAAATTATTTAAATGTTCAAATACCAAATTTTTCAAAGATCTATGTATTATATGCATAATTGTAAATATTATATATAAAATGTTATTTAAAAAAGAGCAATAAACATAAAAAGAAAATATAGGATTTGAATTGAAATCATTAATTAATCATTGAAATATTTTTTATGTTTTCTGCTAATTTATAACTATAGCATTTGAAATTAACAGATATATTTCCATTTGTAAATTTTCATGGTGCAAGGTTTTTTAAAAAAGATTTATTTAAAAAAAAGCTACGCCTCAGAATGACCCAACGAATGTAGAGAAAAAAAGAAAGAAAAAAACCAGAAGTTTATTAAGTCACAACAATTTTTAACAAGTACACTTTTTATCAAACATTTTTAACCAAGTTTAATGAGGACTCCGGGATAGAAAGGAATTATAGAAGGTTCTCTCTACAGCTCATCCTTTTTCTCCGGTTCCTCGCTAGCCACAGGCTCAGCTTCAACCTCAGGTTCAGCCTGATCAAATACAATTATTTTACATCAAGCCAAAAAATTATTTAAAAAAAATAAAACCTAAACTATAAAACTTCGTTTTTTATGATTTTGATTGTGATTTTGTGATATGTCGCAAGGATTTGTAATTTGCGCGAATTCGATCTATTCTTAAAGAGTGCATTGCAAATTTAAAAAATATATCAGTTGGAAATTTCTTAAGTAAAAGGAAATGCATAAACAACAATTATTTTACAATTTTCTGGTTCTCACTGTACGAATATCAGAATTGTGTGGATTTTTCCTGTATAACTCCATATCATTAAATCCAGGTTTATTTATTATAACTTTAGTTAAGGAAGTAAAGGAACTGAATCTTGGCCACCATCTCTACTTTTAAAATATATATATCTTTGGAACCCAATATCGTAAATCTTTAATATTTCAAACTTATATTATATAATCTAACAGAATTCATAGCTTGAAATATCTAAGGTCTACGACATTTGAATCCAAAGAAAAAGGGGTTAGAAAATCAGAGTTTGTGTCTTGGTTTGATCAGATTAAAATTTATTTATTTAGTTTTATCATTTTGTTTCTCGATCGCTACTGCAAGTTAAAAACTAGTAAAAAATGCACATACACGTAGGCTAACGCACAATTACAAAAACGCATCAAAGAGTAACAAACATACTCTCAGAGACTTATGAAAAGTCTTTAATTTAGTCTTTTTACCATGTCTCCTTTGCGTTTTTATTTTCTTAGTTTGACAATATATGAGGTATGAAATATCTCTTTATGTATTTAGGATTATATGTTAGGTACTTTCCCCAAGAGGCAACTTTGCAAGGGTATTTTCCCAAGTGACAACTTCCCAAATGTGACATTTCCCAAGCGGCAACTTCCAAAGTTTGTTCTAGCTGCAGCGCTCGCCTGTTCTAGCCGCATCGTTCGGCCCCCTATCCCATTCTAGCGCAGCGCTCGCGCCCGTTGTAATTTGTAGCACCTTAGAAGGTCTGACCTTACCTCCGGGAAATGCCTTTGGGAAAGTACCTAACACCTTAAAAACGGGGCCTATGCAACTGATTTTGTCAACTTCCCATTTGGGATAAATGGTTTGTTTTCTTTCTGAAAAACAAACTGAGCGTTTCGTTAACGACATAGAAAAAAACAAAAATCGTTTCGTTTTTTTTCAACATCAAAATGTACAGCTAATTAGTTTGTTTTGAAAAATCAAAAGCGAAATGAAAAACGACACTTTTTTTCGTTTCTTTTTTAAAACAATTAACAACCCTACTTACCATCTCTGGTCTAAGAAACTTGACGAATGAATCTAGAGTTCTATCTCCTGCATAGTCAACTACAGTATTATCCTTCTTAAACAGTTTAATTGTTGGGAATCCACGGATCTGAAAAAATCAAAATATTTGACAATTTTGTATGGTCCTAATTATATGTTTTAAAGATTTTTGTCATATTTAGGTTGGGGGCGCGCGGGGGATGTCTTTAGTCAATTATTTTATGAACAACAATATTTTGAATATTTTTTTTCTCCAAAATTCTTCTTCAACTTTAAAGTTAGAAAAATGGAGAAATGAGGAAATATTTTTTATCAAAATACATATGAGATATCTCTCAAAATTAATAGGGCATTTTTTAAAAGAGGAAAAGTTAAAAATTAAAATAAATTACAGAGATCACCGCTATTTGCCTCATTATGCAGGTTTTGGCATGTCAAAGATGAAACGAGTTTTATTGAATAGATCAATTGGACATTGTTATCGAAATAGTTTAATTAACAACCTAGAAATTCTATAAAAGAGGTGGAATCAAGGTCGTCTTGGTTGAGAGCACTTTTTTTTACGAAAATAGTTTATTTGTAGATTGCGAAATCCTGATCGATAAGATCTTTCTTTATCCATACATTTACAAATGCTATAATTACCTTGACTTGAAGAACCTCATTAGCTGTGGAATCCATTTTGGCAATTACAACATCATCAATATCCTTGAACTTTTCTCCCAACTCTTCCCAGATAGGAGTCAACTTCTTACAGTGTCCACACCTCAATAATATGCACATCAGTTCAAAAATTGCATGATCCGAACCAGTACAAGGATTGCCTGGTGTAGGGTTGAGTCGTACCAGCCCGTCTAGTGTACCCACCAGGTGGTAGACCCAGCACGTTTTATGAACCAGAATTAGGACCGTAGAAATTAGGAATTTGGCAGGGATGGAATATGGTGTATTTTAACGATGGGTCAAACTGTCATCGGTAATTTTAGACGTATTGGAAACTATGAAAACACAAACTTTAATATTAATCAGTTTGTTCTAGGAGTCAAACTGTCGTTGGTAATTTTTAATTTATCAAACTACAGAAAACTTTTATATGGTCGTTTAAAGTAATGTCCATTAAACCTCATTAAACCTTAGCATATTTGATTATGAATGCATATCTGGGTCAGATAATGTGTGATGTCTATATAAAAGTTATACAGTTTTAGAATCTTAAAAAATAAGTTAAGCGTTTTAAAAAATCTAAATAGTTTTTTCTTTTTAAATTCAATCATATAGAGAAAAAATGTTTATAAAAAATATGTCTATCCTTGTTTTTAACATACCATGGAGCATAGAATTCTACAAGAACATCTTTTCCCTCCTCCAATGCAACTTCTTCAAAGTTTTTGCTCACCAAAACCTTGACAAAAGTAGCAAAATTAAAACAAATTTAAATCTCAGGAATAATCCAAATTATTTTTTTTGGTTTATTTAACCATACTGCCTGAATGCCCTATTTTACTTTTACCCGACTAGATCTATGTTTAGACCCACTCCCGGTCATTGAATTTCGACTTTTTATAGCTCTTTGTTAAGCCTTGAACAAAAGTAAGCAGATTGCACATTTTTTGCGAAGACATTTTGCATAGAATTTTGCACATATGCCTTTAAAGAGAATTTGCACATTTTCAGCCTTCCTTGAATACAAATTTAGTTTTTAAAAATTTGCAAATATTTTTGCATATTTAAATTCGCCGTGGTAAGGGCTTTTCAAAAATGTATAATCATATTTCGCGCACTTTTTGTTTTGCACATTTTTAGCTTAATGGCTTGATATTGCCATAAATATTTGAAATTTAGCAAATTTGGAGAGTTTTTGCAAATTATTAAAGAAGAGCACAAGGGCTTTCCAAAAAAGTATCAATGTTATAGATTTAAATAAAAATTAGGATATAGAGGAACGGGGGGGGGGGTCCCTGGGACCCCCCTTGACTATTTTGGTAGACCAGATTTCAGTCTGAATAGGGTTAAAGTAGGAACAAAAAAATTTGGTATCTAGTTTTCTTTTCTACTTTTAATTATGGAATATCGTTAAGATTTTTAAAAATTTGAAACTGAATTATTTCTAAGAATGGGCCCTCAACATTTAAAGAGAACTAGAAATTACAAAAAAAGACCTTTCTTATGTAAGAATTGAAGAAAAGAGACGACATTTATTCCTTAGTTTTCTGGTTCTCATTGTACCTTGACTGGTGTTGCATCCCAGTCCTCTGGTAAAGCTTCTGATTTTAGATCTGGCGACAGTTCTCCGGCCAAGTATTTTTCAATAAATCCGCGAAGGCTTTCCTCGCTGAAGTCATTTGTCTCAGGTTTGTACTTGACAAAGTCCTCCATTACATTTGCAATCCTAAGAAAATGTCTTTTTTTTACAATTTTATCACTTTTTTGATTTTTCAGTACCCTTACTTAAAAAAAACGATTATATTATATGTTTGAAAAAGTAATTTTTAATTAAAATATAATATCAACCTACAGAAGGTAGAATTATTTGACCCGAGCTGGAAACTATTAATTGTCTTGGCGAGATCAATGTTAAACTGCAGAATGATTTAATCTTCATGTAAAATACAGAAAATTGTCTAAAATTCAACCATTTACAGTTTAATTTTGTTGCTGCTGTTTGGGTATTTTGCAATATTTCTTGAATTAATAGAATGCTCTTTACAATAATTGGTACCTTTCTCTGCCCTGAACATATCTAAACAATCCCTTAACATAAAAATGGTGAATATACCTGTAAGTGGGAACATCCCAGATACCGAAGAACTCTAGAACTTTCTGATGTTCTTTCTCATCAGTAGTCACAGATACAAACATCACTTTTCCTTTGTAGTCCCTAGATAAGCAAATATGCATTATTAGCATTCCAATTTCATTTCTATAAATTTATAGACTTTGCTTGTCTGTTTCCTTTTTTGGTATACAAAAAAACGTCAAAACGGTAGAACCTATCTGGTCAAAATTTGCTTTATAGAAACTCACATAACATTTATTATTTTTTTTAAAATGCGCTTAGTATTTTAATACAGAGAAATTCCTTCAAATTTGAGAATGATCAAAATTTGCACCAGTTAAATGCTAAAGATGTTTATAAGGAATAAAATATGCAGTGAAAGGACCTGCATAACTTTTTTTATCCTTATATCTTTACAACCTTACGCTGTAGATGTTTGATATTTCACACTATAAATTATGCTAAAAAAAGAAGTCAATGATTAAAATAAATCAGATTTCTAGCATTATGTGGTAAAGAATTAGGTATTGTAAAATTTGAATTTGCGGAAAGTGCCTTTTTTTTACATGGTTTTGTTATAATTTTAGAAAAAATTTATTTCTTACTTTGCTATTTTTCTGGCAGTGTGGATTCTGTGTTCATGTTTTTCATCCTTCATTGAATCATTTTAAGGATTTAATATAATTCAATTTTTCGTTTTTATTTTAATTCTTAGTTCAATATTGGCTTCTTTTAAACCCTTTTCTGGGAATTTTTTTCAATCTTGAAAGAAGATAAATTTCGTCAATTTCCTTCCTTGTCTGTGATAGATATATCCGCATAACATTATGATAGAATTCAATTGAAAGTGATCATTTATCTGATAGAAAACACAGAAAAAGGTTTAAGGATTCCTTTGAATCAGGCATTCACAAATTTTCAATGCAGTGTATGACTGAGTAATGTTCCGTTAACGAAACGGAGGTTTTCGAAAATTAACGGAAGAGTCGTTAACGAACGGAAAAACCGTTAATTTTTAAATTGTTAACGAAACGAATTACACGTTTTTGAAAAAAATTAACGGTTAAAAACATTAACTAAAAAGCTAAAACATTAATTCAAGAATTTTTATCGTTTTGATGTTTTTAAATGTCGTATTCTTTGTATATAAACGGTTCACGAAATTTTTTTTTCTGTTTTAACTGATTTCGAAAAATGTGAGTGGTCCGCGGCATTCTTAGATAGTTGCGCAAGCCACAAGAGAAATAATCATATTCAAAACAACTTAATTAAAAAATATTATAAGATATAAACTAAATACAAATGTGGCGAAAGAGAATCGATGACTAAAGGTTGTAATATCTGAATAATTTGTTTGAAATTAAATTGATTTTTTACGGTCTAAGTTGTATGTTGCAATTTTCTGAATTTGTGTGGGCGCCAAGTTATTCGGTATGAGACGTCTTTAACAAGTTTCTCCTTATAGACGCAACAGATAGAAGTAAGATTAGTAGCGATCAAAAGCGCTTTTTTATCGCATTAAGCCTATACCCCCTTTCATTTTTGCGAACACTCCCTTTAACAAAAGTTTTTCGGCGTTAATTTTGTAATAAAGGTACCATTATACGGCTAGATAATCTAAAGCAAGATGTGTTACACATTGTTAACAGATAAGAAAACACCAATATTAAAAAATTTTGTCCTATTTTAAATATTTGATAACGTCCAAAAATGTTTCCTCTGCTGATGAGAAGATCATAAAATGTCCTTGAATCTGTTGTCCAAATATCATCTTAGCAGTTTCCTACAACATTCAATTTTAACGATGGGCAAAGCTTAGTTAGTATTGGCTTTGAGGTTCGAATTTAAAGACATCACAAATGCTGTTTCATAAAAAAGTATTTTGTAATTTGTGAAAGTATGCTTTTTTTGAACTGTGCAAATCCTAAACAAAATAGAGGGAAATACTCAGTACAAAGGTTTTTACAGAGTCAATAGTAATATCTCCTGAATAATGTATACGCTGTGTCACTCAGTTCAAAGGTTTTTACAGAGTCAATAGTAATATCTCCTGAATAATTTATACGCTGTGTCACTCAGTTTAAAGGTTTTTACAGAGTCAATAGTAATATTTCCTGAACAATTTATACGCTGTGTTACTCAGTTCAAAGGTTTTAACAGAGTCAATAGTAATATCTCCTGAACAATTTTTACGCTGTGTTGCTCAGTACAAAGGTTTTCACAGAGTCAATAGTAATATCTTCTGAACAATTTATACGCTGTGTCACTCAGTTCAAAGGTTTTTACAGAGTCAATAGTAATATCTCCTGAACAATTTATACGCTGTGTTACTCAGTTCAAAGGTTTTTACAGAGTCAATAGTAATATCTCCGGATCAATGTATACGCGCTTGTTATTCAGTTCAAATATTTTTACAGAGCCAATAGTAATATCTCCTGAATAATGTATACGTGCTATGTTACTCAGTTCAAATATTTTTACAGAGTCAATAGTGATATCTTCTGAACAATGAATACGCTGTCTAACTCAGTTCAAAAGATTTTAAATAGTCAACAGTGATCACACCTGTACAATTCCCCTTAGTTTATTTTTACTTTCTTTTAAAAAATCCATTTAGATTTTGTAAACCGTTTACAAAAAATAGTTCACTTAACCATGCCTTGTTTATAATCTTTGTTTTTGTTTACATGTCGTGGATGTGAACAAAAACCCTCATGAACTTCTGTTAAATTTTTATATGCTTGAATTTGATACCTTCTAAAGTATTTCTTCCTTCATCAAATTTCTTGAGTAGAATAACACCATTATCTCCAGAAACTGCAAATTTTGAGAACGCTTCTGGAACGGATGTGATGGCAAACAACTAAACAAGAAAAAAATATACGATGAGAACCTGACAACTGTGGAAAAATAAGATTTTTTCCTTTTCTTAAGAGCATCACTAAAACATTGAGAGTAGACAACTCCATTTACTCTGTTCCCTCTTTCATAGGTATCTGCATATTTGTACTCTGCCGTTTGAACTATTGATAACAAATAAAAATAATAATAATCAATGATAATGCAATTTAAAAATTACTTTTAATTATTTAGATTCGCCCGGTGGTGGTTACGGAACTGCAGATAGGATTAAGAATTAAAGAGAAAATTAAATGCAACAATTTATTAGAATTTAATTATGTAAATAATATATTTTGGATACCCTTAATCTCGCATGGATATCACTGCTGGGTTCCGACCAATCATGTAATATGAGAATTCCTTTATAGATTTATATTTTTGACAGCTTTTTTAAGGATAGAAAAGGCTTAAATACGTCGATAGAGACTTCGTTGTAATTCGTTTTACGTAATTATACATTCATCGTAGCATTTCCCAGGTTTGTCTACCTGGTCGTCGAGTACTGCAGCTGCCTGGAGATATGCCTTTGCTTCAGCAGATTCAGCATCCTTGAAGAAACCCAGCATTTGAATGTCGTCTTTCTATTACGCAGCTTTAGGGGTCTTACATTTTACATGCATTTATGATTTTCTATCAAAATTACAAATTATATAGCCTAATAGCCTGAGAATTCTGTATACTTGTATACTCTAAAGGTCTGAATTGTTGTATACTCTAAAGGTTCAATATATTTGTTTAACTTGAAAATTTATATACATATATACTCTGAGGACTCTGTATACCTGTATACAGCTATATAATATGAGTGTATAATCTGAGGGTTCTATATACCTGTATAATCTGAGGGTTCTATATACCTACATAATCTGAGGGTTCTATATACCTGTATAATCTGAGGGTTCTGTATACCTGTATAATCTGAGGGTTCTGTATACCTGTATAATCTGAGGGTTCTGTATACCTGTATAATCTGAAGGTTCTGTATACCTGTATAATCTGAGGGTTCTGTATACCTGTATAATCTGAGGGTTCTATATACCTACATAATCTGAGGGTTCTATATATCTGTATAATCTGAGGGTTCTATATACCTGTATAATCTGAGGGTTCTGTATACCTGTATAATCTGAGGGTTTTATATACCTATATACTCCAAAAGTTCTCTATACCTGTATAATCTGAGGGTTCTGAAAACCTGTATAATCTTAGGGTTTTATATACCTATATACTCCAAAAGTTCTCTATACCTGTGTAATCTGAGGGTTCTGTATACCTGTATAATCTGAGGGTTTTATATTCCTATATTCTCCAAAAATTCTCTATACCTGTATAATCTGAGGGTTCTGTATACCTGTATAATCTAAGGGTTCTATATACCTACATAATCTGAGGGTTCTATATATCTGCATAATCTGAGGGGTCTATATACCTGTATAATATGAGGGTTCTGTATACCTGTATAATTTGAGGGTTTTATATACCTATATACTCCAAAATGTCTCTATACCTGTATAATCTGAGAGTTTTATATACCTATATACTCCAAAATGTCTCTATACCTGAGTACTATGAGGGTTCTGAAAACCTGTATAATCTGAGGGTTTCATATACCTATATACTCCAAAAGTTCTCTATACCTGTGTAATATGAGGGTTCTGTATGCCTGTATAATCTGAAGTTTTTATATACCTGCATAATATAAGGGTACTATATACCTGTACAATCTGAGGGTTTTATATACCTGTATAATATAAGGGCACTATATACCTGTATACTCTGAGGGTTGTGTATACCTGTATAATCTGAGGGTTTTAAATACCAGTACAATCTGAAGGTTCTATATACCCGTATAATCTGGGGGTTCTATATACATTTGTAGTATGAAGGTTCTATATACCTGTATAATCTGAGGGTTTTATATACATTTGTAGTCTGAAGGTTCTATATACCTGCATAATCTGAGGGTTGCATATAAATATGTACTCCAAGAGTTCTTTATACCTGTAAAATTTGAGGGTTCTGCATACCTGTATAATCTGAGAGTTCTATATACCTGTATAATCTGAGGGTTCTGAATACCTGTATAATCTGAGGGTTCTCCGTGCTGGAAAAATTTAAGAGTTGGATATCCCTTCACTCCATGGTTGTTGGCCAATCCTTTATTCTCGGTGGCATCGACCTTAATAAGAAATATAAAGTTTGAAACTTTTTATGATGAAATTTTCACTGTAAATTATTAATTTTAAAATTATTTTGTGTAGATATATTATGCTGAAGGGCCCGGCGTTGCCCGTGGAAGAAATAATTTTAAAGAAAAAAAATTTTGAAGAAAAAAATTTGGAGTTTTTTTTAGCCTAAGTCTTCCCAAGGCTAACATTTGTTTCTTAAAATCAAAGTTAACAAAAGTAATTCAAATTTTTGGTTTCCAAAATTACTGAAGATATGTTTAATTTTGTTCAGAATTAGACATTTCCATGGTTTATCTGAATAAATGAAAATAAAAACAAAATTCTTAATATCTCTGGTATTTTCTAAAGCAAAAAAGTGGCAGACCACTTTTGGGAAATGGCAGAACTAGAGCTATTTTGTGTTAGATGTTTTATTAAAAGATATTTCTAAAATGAAGTTGCCTAAAACTATTTCTAAGGTCAAAGACGACTTTCAAGTGAATTTATATTATTCCGGTATATAGAATATATAGTATTTCATGGTTAAAGGATAATCTAACCGACCTTAGCTAATTTTACTGTAGAACCAGTTTCTTCTAAAGTTTTGGCAGCAGATTCATATTCGGGGGCTAATTTCTTACAATGTCCACACCTACATGTATTTTTAAAGGAGAGTTCACCAACATCCTATTCTACAGTATGCTGTTCACTGTGTAGTGGTGGAAAGGTGTTAATATTTTTCAAAAAAAGGTTGCAGATAAGGAGAAAGTAAGAAAAAAGTTAACAAAGAAATTCTATCGAGATTACCGTCGCGCAATCAGTTTTGACAAGACTAACATTTTTGTCTTTTAAAAGTGTCTTTGTTCATTCAATTGAGAGTAAAATTCTGTATATCAGTGTTTACAAAAAAAACAGTTTCTGATCTGACCTAGTACGTCTCAGTAAATTGTAAACAAACCTTGTCTACCTCTTCTTAGTTTTCTACTCTAATTGTGATTTGTAAATTACATTATGAATAGTTTTGAATCCAAGCTAACCCGAAAATTTCTATAGGATAGTCCAGGATTCAGATATACTATCTATTCTAATATCTATGTACATGGGTAATGGGTATAGTCGCAAGAATATGACCTCAAAACAAAAATAAGTTAAAAGTTATTATGAATTATAAACGATATTTACAGAAACCTGTCCTTGTTAAAAACAAAAATATATTTTGGCGTTCCACATCATTTTGGGTTATCTTAAGGCTTCAGATTTAAAACATGAAACTTTAATTATTAGCAAATATACCCACCTACATGGTTATGAAATTTCGTTTAATGTCGTCTTTTTAATTAAATTCTTAAAGAAAAATCGTAATATGTTGACCTTAACTGCTGATACAAGTAAAAGAAGGCAGAATGCCCCAACCACAACCATTTTTAAACCTAGGGAAAAATACATTTGTTCAAAAAAGAAATATTTACTAATTGTAATTTTTTTAAGGCTCTTTAAAAATAAAAAAATATTATTTTCGAGTAATTTTATCAGAGTATCAGAGTGAAATTATTGCAGAAAAGGTAAATATCTAGATATGGCGTGAATACGGCAGATAAGATAGAAAAACTACAGAATATTAAGACGTGTCTTAAACGTGGAATATTATAAAGATAAGAAGATCAAAGATAAGAAGTTGAGGATGCACTCAAGACTGTTCAGATTCAGGGTCATGCAAAAATTTATTTTGAAACAAATTGTACAGTTATCACATTGCTTTTTTAATATTTAAAACTCAAACTTTTTAATTGTTATCTATAATAAAATTCTAAATAATGTTTTTTAATAAATCTGTTACAAACTTTAAAATAATCAGCAATATTTCAAAAGAAAAATAACTTTCAAACACGGTTTTCTGGTTAAAGGGAATGCAGAAGTCATAATGTCAAGTGACCCTTAATTTATAGAATGACATGTCCCATTCACTAAAGTACCAAAGGTAAGTATTATCTGATCAAATATTATTATGAGAGTTATTTATAAATTATCATTGAAATATTGGTTATTTTTAATTGTGATTCAGGGTGTCCCAAAAAACATGGGAATTCAGTGACGAATTCGATATCGTCTTTGTTATAAGTTAGCATTGTAATACCTAATTTCAAAAGCCTTCATATTATTATGTTTGCTAGAGTTTATTTTTTGAAAAGGGTAAAAGACTGTAAAGATGTGTCTGTCTGTAATGTCTCCGAAAGATGAACAGTAAAGACGGACAATTTTACTCTGTTTGTATACTGTAATTTTCTTGTTTTAGTAAGTACACCACTATGCAGTCAAAACATAAACAAACAAAATGTGAACATAGCAGACGAAACTCTTACAGATTACAGTTTTCTCATTAGGTATCACTATACTAAATCAAAGAATTATTTAAAAATACGATATCCAATTCGTCACTGAATTCCCATGTTTTTTGGGACACCCTGAATAAAAGTAACCACCATTTCTTGCAATAGAAACAATAGAGACAATTTTGAGAACTAAACGCTATATTTTCCACATTATTGATTAGATAGAGTTTTCAGGAGTACCAGCTAGAAATAGGAGGGTACTTGAATGCACATGTCAGAAAGTGTTGCGTAATAACAAAACAATCTCTTTTAACAATATAATAAAATATACTACTGTGATAACCATACAACTCTGAAATAAGAAGACGACTACTAGACTCAAGTTAAACCTGTAATTATTCCATTGAACATTTAGCTATTGTTTAGTGTAAACAGGCATATTGCACTTAATAATTGATAAAGTGAAACTATTTGCTTTGTAACAACATTAAATATACTTAATTACTGCTTGAATGTCGTTTTCCTATTCCACAGTTTTCTGGTTCTCACTGCACCATATTGTTTTGTTTTAATTATAGGCATTACATTGTTAATTCTTTACAAAGACGCATTCGAGGTCGTTACTCCATTCAATGTTTATTGGGACACTCTGTATCCTTCTAGATTTTTTACAATCAAAAAAGTAAGATCGATATTATAAATAAAAGTATTGTAACTTCTTCATATTTAATAACACATTTGTGTATTATAAACAATACAAGTATAAACAACTAATCAAGCTTAATTATCTTCTTGTTTGAGATAAGCTTCGCACTCTCTACAATCTTTTCCTGCAAAAAAATACAAAATTACATAAAATGATTTAAACATTTTTTTTTGATAATTAATGATCCGATTGACTCGAAATACTCGGATATTTACAGATGCATGCCAGTTTTTGAAACCACGCACGAGCACGACCCATTAGATCATCAGATCAACCAAAGCCTAAAAATCATACACAGCTACTGCTTTGTGACCATGCCACAAACTCAATTTTTCTATTTTCAATTTTTTGAAATTTTTGAAAAATTTCAAAAATTGACTAAGTTATGACAAAAAAAAACAGTCAAAAATGATTTAGGAAAATACATTTTTTGGAGATTCTTTTAACCAAACTCAGTCAACTTTTGAATTTTTTTTTAGACAATTACGACATGACATGATACATTTAAGAATTTTTTTTTGAGCTATGTAGACTCTACGTGCATATTTTTGAAAAGTATATCAGAAGTAAAAGTGGTCCAATCTCAAAATTTTTTTTTCCTGAATTTGTATTACTAAATGTCACATCATTCCGGTCGGTCTGCATTCAAATATTACAACTTGGTCTTTTTTGGGATACCCTACTCTTACCTTTGACTTTTCAATCTTAGATATTAAATCTAACAGAATTTGAAGGATTTTCGGTAATGAAAATTTGATAATACCAACTTGGTGACAATTTGATAACGACAATTTTGTATTGACAATTTGGTAAGTACATATAAGTGGCAATTTGGTAATGACAAATTAGTTACGACACAAAAAGTGACAATTTGGTAACTACAAAAAAATGACAATTTGGTCACGACAATTTTGGGTAACTACAAACAAGTGACAATTTGGTAATGACAGTTTTATAACTTTATAAAAATGACGATTTGGAAACTACAAGTAACAATTTCGTAACTACAAAAAAGTGATAATTAAATTTATAAATAAAAAAAATTGTGTACTTCATATTACTGGCAATTGGGTATCTACATAAAAGTGACAATGTTGTAACTTCATAACATTGACAATTTTGGCTTTTGTTATAAAATAATTATCTTCTTTATTTATTCGAAAATAATAAACATCAATTATTACTTAATGCCAATATGTAAAACTAATAAAATTATGACTTGGTCACCTTGCCAAATTGTCATTACCAAATTGTCGTTACCAAATATGTACCTTACTAAAGTGTCATTAAAAATTGATATAACAAAATTGTCTTTTTTATGTCATTACCAAATTGTCGTTACCAAATTTATACCTTACCAAATTGTCATTAAAAATTGACATTACCAAATTGTCTTTTTTATGTCATTACCAAATTGTCGTTACCAAATTTATACCTTACCAAATTGTCATTAAAAATTGACATTACCAAATTGTCTTTTTTATGTAATTTCCAAATTTTTGTTACCAAATTTATACCTTACCAAATTGTCATTAAAAATTGATATTACCAAATTTTTTTTATGTCGTTACCAAATTGTCGTTGCCAAATTTATGCCTTACCAAATTGTCAAGAATCAAATCGAAAAAACTGTTTTATCTTTTAGGGATTTCGATATAATTTCAAGCGACCCTCCTTTTGAAGAGGTACACCGTTGTAATCAGGCATGTAAGTCTCTAATTGAAAGATCAAATAAAATTACAGCAACACGCACAGTTTCTTTAATAAACAAGTTGAGCATTATTTACTACCTGAGTTTGGAATGGTTCAAGCTTAATATCCTTGTCTGAAAACCAGCCTAAACCTAGATAATATTAGTTTTCCTGAAGTCGATCTTGCACATCTGAGTTATTTTTTTTGTGAACTATGACATATAAATATCAAGTCTTGAGGTCGTAACCTTTGTGTTAGACCTCGCTAGATATAATACTGCCTCAATATCCACGGCGGAAACTTTTGAGATAAAGAGATTGAATCGAAAAACAACATTCGACTCGGAATTTATGCGATCTCTCATTATGTAAAGATTGCTGGTACTTTTTGGTCGGACCTTTATAAATATAGTTCATATATATTTACATCCTGAATAACTTTATAAATATAGTTCATATATATTTACACCCTGAATACCTTTATAAATATAGTTCATATATATTTACACCCTGAATACCTTTATAAATATAGTTCATATATATTTACACCCTGAGTACCTTTATAAATATAGTTCATATATATTTACACCCTGAATACCTTTATAAATATAGATCATATATATTTACACCCTGAATACCTTTATAAATATAGTTCATATATATTTACACCCTGTATGCGGACTAGTGCTTTCTAAAAGGATTATCAATGCAAAAGTTCTGACTTAAACTTCACAAGAAGTAAGGGTGTGATCCGTGAAGCCCCCTTTGAACTTTGAAAGTAAAAATAAATGAAAAAGTCAAAAAAAAATAACCTGGAGCCTTCTGAGATCTAGTCTCCCATGTGTAAGTTTCCTAAACAAATTCAAAATCATACAGTTGGGGTTCTGAACCAGGTTCTCGCCCTTAAAAGCACCCACCTCGGGTAGTAGGTAAAACACCGCTCACGCCAAGTTAGGAAGGAATGTTCAATGTAATTTTTTAAAAAATTCTACAACTATATTTCTTAAAAATATCTATATTACATATGGTTGTTGACTTGAAAAGTCACTATAATAAAATAAAGAGATCTAAAATGGATATTTCTAACATTTATTTAAATCAAAAGTCGTCTTTTCAATAATAATTCTAGAAAATCTGCGAAAATATTTGTGAATAATGAGAAACCAGAATAATGAGAAAATAGAAACCAATAAAGAATACTTATTTTCGATGGTAAAATTAATTATAACTTTCTGTTCCTATACATGACGTCTGTAGTTTATTGTAGAATTTTTTTTACATTTTATGTCGTCGTTATTTAATAATTTAAAAAAAACTAATTCTGAAAACGTATCCACCCTCAAAGTAGAAGTTTTGAACGTCGAATTTCCGCTCAAACTCAGGATTTACAGATCTTTATAAAGTTTAATATGTCTCAAATGAATCCGAAAGAAGTTTTCCACAACACTACATACTCAGTTTAACTACCTTACATAGCCGGTCACTCCCTTTAAACTATAACTGTTGAATCCCTACATCTAAATTTGAATCACCTTTTACTTAGTCTTTATCTTTTAATCGGTGATTCAAATCCTTAAGTTCATGTTTTATTGCAAAGATGTAGGGATTTCAGGCAAATAACCAGTTCCTTTCTTTGTTTATTTGAAACCTTTTCTGGGCATTCCTCGTCATCAAGTCCATCTCCTTTGTTTCTTAATAGAGCATTCGTGTCATCATCATCTAGACCCTAAAAAGATAATTTAAAAAACTTAAAGATTGATGGTGGCATGACAATCTCCTAAATACAAACTTTCGTCGTCCATTAAAGAGGGGAATAAAAGTTTTCCTTTCAATTTTATAATATTTATATTTTTATTTTGAGACGATCCGGGAACTAATTTAACTTTAAAGCATCGTGCTGTAATTACCATAAAGTAAGCATTAATGAGAAAAAATACCATATTTTTAACACAAAAAAAACTATTAAAAATACTGTTACTTACCTCTGTTAAAACCCATCTTCCATCTATTATATAATCATGGTAGTGTAAATACAAACTAAACAAAAACATATTTCATTAAAGATGTTCAATAATTGATTTTTACTAGTTTAAAAATTGGAATTTTTAACGAGAAAAGTACATGAAAAGTAAATTATATAAGTACATGATATAAAATATATGAAAAGAATATGATGATGTAAATATATATATATAAATTTCAAAAAGGTATTTTTTTTTTATTTATTAAACAAAAATAAAATTAATTATGCATTGTAAGGTTTTTCTTTAAACAGAAATGATCAATTTTATTCCAATGCATAAATGATCAAATAGATAATAAAGAAATATATTTAGAAAATCTCTAAATTTTGCAGCCATTTCTACAACTTTATTTTTACCTTTGAGAACAATTCACTGATTCATAAACATTTTTTCCATCACAGTCCAGGCAATTAGGGGCACCAATATAGGCAAAGTGACACTAAATAGTAAATATAAAAAAATTAAAATTTATGTATACATAATTTTTATACAGTGGCGTGTGCGATACACCACAGTAACCTTTAAACCTTTATATGATGAAGTATGCTCAAATTATGATGTTTTCAAACTATAATATTGCTTATTTTCAACTGTGGATTAATGGATAAAAAATAATGAAATTGTCAGAAATAAGACTATTTTAAAAAAGGACATTTTTTTTCTTTCTTTCAATGGATGGTCAGTTAACAATTAGTTTTGAACTTAATTTGCGCAAAAAATATTATTTTTTCTCTTAAGTTGAGAAAAAAATTATGAGATATTCTTAATTTTTAATTTTAATATTAGTTATATCATTATTCTACCTCTTCATTAAACAGCCAGGATTGTTCCTAATGCGGTATACATCTTACAGATAAATATACCAAATACAATAAAAACTACAATAATAAGAAAAAAAACAAGAACAATTATATATATAAATATAAATAAATAGTGAAATTTAAAAAAAATTAAGGGGCTAGCGTCTAAAAGTAATTTTAATTATTTTTTGCCAAACTTCTTGGACATTCCTCGTACATTAACAACAAAAATAATAACAATAACAATTATACCAGTAACAAAAATAATTATAACAACAATATTTATAAAAACAGCAACATTAGAAAAAAAACAATTACAACAACAACAATACCAATTACAACAAAATCAACGATAACAAAAATAGCAATTAGCAAAAAAAAAAGACCAAAAAATACAATAACAATGTTAAACGAGCAAAACAAGTTTTAATTCAAAACAAATACATAACAAATGTCAAAGTCATAATGAAATGAAAAAGTAAATATTTTTAAATCTGTATTAATGCCTGGTGTAGAGGAGAGAAAACAGGAGCAGTAAATTTTATCAAGTTTTTACATTCACAATTACAGATACTAAATACACAACATTTACTAAAAAATGTCAGTCTAAATATCTATGTATATAGATTTGCCAGCACAGATATAGTAGCAATTTCTGTTTGTCTTTATGTTTGTATATTCGATCAAAACTCATAATCCATTGGCCGATTAAAATATTAGATATATTAAAATATTAAAGAAAAATTTTCATTTTCTCTGGAGTTAGGTATGATAATTATTAAAAGAGAAAATTCTAATCGAATTTTTTCTTCAAGAAATAATTTTTTTAATATATTAATATTCATTTAAAAATTGATTTGATATCTTCTCTTGTTTATCAGTATCACTTTCTAATAATCGCTTAATCAGGAAAAAAATAGAACATGCATATAGTATATATTCTTAAAGGAAAAATGAAAGGGGGTATAGGCTGAAACCTGAGCATTTCAGGAATTGATTCATTTTCAGCAAATACGCAACCAATCTGAAAACTACGATATCCCAGAAGAGCCTGAAAAGTCAGGTTTGCTCCCATTTTTATTTGAATTTAATAATTTTTCATTTTTAATAGATATAATTGATAATAATATTTACATGTCCATAATCACCTAACCAGAATGGCAGTGCAGTATTATTGTCACATGTCTCCGTCTGTACCACATGACTAGTATACTGCACTGCCAGTGGGGAGAGTTCTGGTCACGTGATACGGACGGATAAATAATATTATCAATTATATATATTTGAATGATCAAGGATATCGTATTTTTTAGATTGATTGCATACTTGCTGAATATGATCTGTTTAAAACTTAGAATCTTACACTTATATATAAGTTTTGGTATAACTTTGACACAGTTTTAAAACAATTTATTGAGACAAGAACATCAGATAGAACTCATTTAGGTCTCTATCAACTTCTGAAATGCTTATGTTTCAGCCTAGGCCCCCTTTAATTTTTCCTTTACAGTCCTTTTAAGTGACTACTCATTTTTAGAGCAGCATGTTCAACGGTATACTTCTTAAACTTTTGGCTGCGCACTATATGACATCAATTTTTCTTTTTTTCTGATTTTTTATTAGGTTTTTTTAAAAAGAACTTGAAGATTTAATTAGCAAAAATAAATAAACTGTCAGAATTCTTTACTCTTTGAAGGAATAAAGGATACCATGATCTTGTAAATCTGGAATACAGTTCTTTCATGTCAGAGTTACTTAAGATTGCGTTTTAGTTATTTTTTCAGAACAGCTCACTTTCATTTCAAGCATCGGAAGCAAAAGTTAAATTTTTTTTACAAAATCTGAATCCGGTCAAATTAAAATAGTATCTGTTAAGAACTATGAACCTCCAAAACTCCAAATAATCATATTAAACTGCTATATTACCTACAGCTGTCTGTTACACAACATACTAGACTCTTTATACAGCTTTGACAGTTTTGTGCTAGTGACAGCAGTCTCTCCACACAACCAACCAACGCTGGAATATAATCATTCATTAACTGTACAATCCACCTTAATTCATCTTATACAATCTTATACTTCCTTAATTCATTATATGTCACAGCTGTCTTATCCATCAAAGCTTCATTTTTTGTCACACCTGCCTCATCCAACATTCTTTTTTTATCTGCCACAGCTGTCTAATCCATCGTGAGTTTTTTTTTATCTGTCAGAGCTTTCCAGTCTATTTAATCATTATTATCTGTCACAACTCAGAGCTCTATAATCCACCATAAATTCATTATCTGTCACAGCCGTATAATCCACCAAAGATTCATTATCTGTCATAGCTGCCTGATCCATTATATTTTTATTATCTGTCACAGTTGTCCTTAAAAACATTCGTTAATTTATTATCTGTCACAAATCTACCAACGCGTTTAAACCTGTTGTAAAATCAAACCCAGCTGAGATACAGACGGGAACAGCGGATTGTACAGCAGAGAGACAGTCGGCTCCACATTGAAGACAGCTTTCAGTTTGGCCTGCGGACAAACCCATCTAAAATAGTTTACAAGAAAACATGTCTTTTTAGCTTGGAAAACAAAAGCGAACATGTAAAAGTAATAATTTCTTGTTAACAAAAGCCATGACTGGCTTCTACTTCAGCCATATTGCATTGTTTTATAGTAATAACATACGTCTAAACCTAACACTGCTAATAATATCTGGTTTACAACTTGTATCCAAAAATTGCTTGCAATGCGAATAGGAAAATATATCAAAAATACGTTTTCGTTATCTATAGCAGAATTTTTAGTTAAAAATCCAGATTATTTTTGATTTATGTTAAAGTGTTCTGTACATATATCTTCTCTAAAAAAAAACCCCGAAAAAAAATTTGGTTTTGTTTTCTGAAAAAGGAAAACCTGTTTCGTCATATAGATCGAACAATTAGGAATTTAAATTTTTTTTAGTTTGGAATTTTTCATAATTCGTTATTTAAAAATGCTTTTGGTATTTCTATTTTACGAAAAAATGGTATGTTTTTTAAAACAACGTTCAGCTTCATAGATTTTTTACAGTGCATCTTTTTAAATAGTTAATTAGTTAATACATTTTCAATAGTTTTAATTTTAAAGAAGTTTATAGTTTTAATGATTTTTTTAGAGTTAAATAGTTAAAAAATTTAAGTTAACCTTCGAAGTGACAACCAGAAAAAAACGCAATTCAATTCATCTTCTTTTTATTTTAGAATTAAATGTAATTTTTTATTTTCAATTTTATTGCTTAAAAAACTCCCTAAACCCAGATTAGTATTTTTGTTTTATTATATTGGAATTTAACAAAGGGTAATTAAGTAATTAAGTTCCACGACTCAAATTGAACTCGCAGGAGAAAGGGGAACAGGCTGAGCGCGTTCTGAAGGAAACTTAGATAGTTTTAAACTCCGATATTTGTGTTTACCTGAAGCAAAATCAAAACAAAAGTGAAAAATGATTCAGTCTTTAACATTGTGATATCTCCAGTTATCCGGCTCTAGTTTGGCATAAAACTGGATTCATGTTCTTTAGACCAGAACATTGTGTAAATCAGGGGCATCAAAGAAGAATAAATAGTTAAAACCACAAAAGNAAGTTTGACAAAATTGATGATTAGGGGTTAGGATTTGTGTTCCCCTTATGGACATCTCTAAATTCTTTACAAAAACATATGCTCAGCCACCATGCACTGATTCATTTCTAAACAGGGATTTCAGAATCATAATTACACAATCAGTAGAACCGTTCAAAATTAATTCAAAAAAATATCATAAAAGTTTTACAACCTGCAGAAAAAAATTATCATAGTATAAGATTTTTACAGGGTTACTAAAAAAGATGAGACTGAAATGATGACCTGAAACTATTTAATTTTCCAGAACGAGATGCGTTGGATTTTTCACAAATTTGAAATCAATCTCATTTTAGTACATAATTTAACAATATTTAAACTTAAAGAGATGTCTTGTTAAATATATATACTTTTTCATTTAAAACGCCTATATTTAATTATTTTTTTTGTCTCTTGAATGACTTTAATTATGACTGTGGAGCACACGAGGTGTGTTGTGCAACCTTTTTAATGCATAGCCTTTCAATAACAAAGATGACCTCTAAGTTCAGAGGAACATACTGTATATAAGTTTTAAACAGTACATGTCAGTGCTATGGTGTCCAATGGTTACCTATATTCCCTCACCTCTAGCAATTCTATAACTGGGTCTGATAACTCATCTGGTCGGATATACAGAACAATATCTAAACCTGGCGGTGGCCATAATTCGACTCCTTATGGTAGTTAAGTATTTAAAGCATTAAATAAATTTTTATTGCACGAAGACACAATAGCTTAAAAAACACTAACACAAAACAGACATCTTTAATTAAAATTTTCCATTTCTCAATCGGATTCTTCTTTCCATATGGGAAACACATTTTATTTTCCGTTTTTACAAAATTCAGGATATTTTCAGGTTTTTTCTTTGTACACTAACCAAATATTTTAAAACCAAAAGCACGAGCAGTTTTTCAGGAAGAATATAATTATTTTCTCAGATCTTTAAAAATCACTTTTTTCCAGTTTAATAGAATGCTAGAGCTAGACCCTGAAACATTAGCTACAAGGATTCTTGTGATGTCCCTTCTGCACTGGTCTTTCCTAGGCAACGTAGCAGATTACAGACGGAATCCAACTATATAGCAAAACAAATAATAATGTTATAAATAATAATAATTTCATTATTAAAAATTGCATATATGTATTGTTTAATGATAAATTCACGTAGAACAAAATGTTAAATAAAAGTTATCGTCAAAATAGGTTTTATGGGATGAGGAGGTGGATATGGGTTGAGGCCAGGGGTAGGGGAAGGGAAGGGTGGAATGAGGGGAAGGATGGGCTGAGGAGAAGGGTGGGTTGATTAGTGGAAGTATGAGTTGAGGGGAAGGATGAGTTGAGGGGAAGGATGAGTTGAGGGGAAGGATGAGTTTGAGGGGAAGGATGAGTTAAGGGGAAGGATGAGTTGAGGGGAAGTCTGAGTTAAGGAGAAGCATGGAGTGAAAGGAAGGATTGGCTGATATTGCAGTGGTTTGAAGGTTTTCTTAAAGGAAGACGACATTATTATAAAGCCTCTATACATTTTTTCAATTTAGCATGTAATAAGGATTTGAAAAAATTCCTTTTCCTAATTCAAAAATGAAATTTCAGACGCCTTTTGACTTTTATTTTTAAATTGTAGAAGAATCAATTCAAAAACTCCTATTTGCTTTCTAAACATTGTTACATAAAAAATATAATATTTCATTTTTATTTCATAACCAAGTACTTGAGACAGCTGAACAAATACTAAAGTAAAATATTATTATCTCTGTAAAATAAATTGTATAATTAAGAAAAATTACACGCCAACGCCTGTAGTTTTTTTTATAAATTTTCTGTATATTTTCTTGCCATTATTTGGTCCAATTACCATTTTCCGCCCCTAAATATAAATATATAAAGATATATATATATATGTGTTACTATGCAAGAATGTGGACTGCATGCCTTTAGGCAGTCATAGTATCTAATATCTATTCTATCAGTGTATTCGTGTCTTCATTCACGCCTGCATGTATACTTTCAGTTTCAGATCTTAGTTATCACACGAAGTTAACGTTTAACATATTTTTCATTTTTATTTAAATTTTTTAAAGCACATCTTTGATTTTTAAAATACATAGTCCTTTAGACTAACAACATCGAAACCATTAAAATATATTTACAGAAAATGTATGATCTTATAATTTTACAAATGTGCAAATCAAAATAATGCAAAATCTACGAAATTTTGCACAGTTGAATTTAAAACGGTAAATACTAAAATTGATCAGACAATTCAAATTACATAAGAAAAAATGCAGAGAGAATATGTACAAAGGTTGAAACTTGATAATGACCTAAAAACGTTTTAACTATAACGATTTAAAAAAGGGTTTAACTTAAAAAATTGAGCATTAGGTCTGAATGAGTTTACAGTCGCAATAAACCATGATTTAAAGCAAAAAAAAACTATAAATAAAGTCTCATTCATTGTGGGTAACTCTGGATATTTCTTATTAAAAATCAGTTTAGATTATAATCTTTGAAACAATTCTTTTAATATCATAATGCATATAGTTTACAGTAGTTTTATACAGAGAAAAAAATAAACAAAATTTAGCCATTCATCGTGTATATCTGATATACATACATGTCTATGGTTGACTTTAATCAACCCCCTTGAGTTACATGAGCAAATACATAAGAATGCCAATTTTTGGTTTTTATTAGCAAACTTTATTTTCAGATAAAAATGTATGATCTTGTGAGATATTATATTATACCGCCGATATTTTTAGTTTTCTTTACAGGGGTAACCCAGGTTCTCGTCTCCCTAGGAAACCCCTACAGGTTAGTTTTCTTTACGGGGGTAACCCAGGTTCTCGTCTCCCTAGGAAACCCCTACAGGTTAGTTTTCTTTACAGGGGTAACCCAGGTTCTAGTCTCCCTAGGAAACAGGTTAGAACAGTATAAAAAATATTTATGTCAGGAATTATAATCATAAACATAACTGTATACGCCTTTCTTTATCTTTAACTCTTCAGGAATTCTCTAATTTACATATTCTTTTTCAGAATTTTAAATAAAGGCACTTCCTTATTATTTTTCTTGCAAAGTAATTGAGTCTTTGTCACAATCTCTTATTTTGTATCCCAATATTTTTGCAAACCAATGTCGTAGACCTTAAATATTTCAAACTTTGAGTTTGAAATACCCAAATGTTTAACCATCAGGTTAAACAGATACAGAAATTTTAAAATTTGAAATTGTCGCAAAGAGTCAATTCCTTACTTGTTACAATGATGACAGAGTTTAAAAGTTCCGAAAAGGAAATGAGTTTTTGCCACAGACTCTAATTTTGTAAACCTTTTATCTTTGCAACACGATGTCGTAGACCTAATATATTTCAAACCATGATTTTTGGTAGATCAAAAAGCCTAAGTTTGTAATTTCAAAGTCATATACACCATCAGGTTGCAAAGATATAGGGATTAGAAAATTTGAATATAATACGTATTTGCTTATTTTAATCAAAAAAGAAATTTGAAAATCAAAAATGTGCTACATAGAGAAAGTGTGTTTAGTCCCATTATTTTAAAAAACATACAGTTGGACACAGTAAACTATAGAATAGAAATTCGGCATTTAAACAATCTATATATTGATATTTGATATTGATATTTGATATTGATATTTGTTATTGATATTTAATATTGATATTTGATATTGATATTTGATATTGATATTTGATATTGATTTTTGATATTGATATTTGATATTGATATTTGATATTGATATTTGATATTGATATTGATATTGATATTTGATATTGATATTTGATATTGATATTTGATATTTGATATTGATATTTGATATTGATATTTGATATTGGTATAAAACAAATACGTTGCTCGGTCGGTAAAACATCAGTACTTTTACTGCACTTTTCCTGTGTTTCATGTTCCATCAACTTTCATTTAGAGTTTAAAAGTCAACTTCCTATTCCACTTCTTTTTGGACCCAACTGTAGACAATCATAATTTAGGCCGTTTGAGTTGAGTTCACTCTTTAATCCTGGAACTCAATATTCTTGGACGGTTGTGTCAATTTTTATGGTTCGTAATTAGTATTTATTTTTTAATAATTGTTGGGGGTAAAAACACAAAATTTCCAATGATATTGGAATAATGTCGTCCATATATATATAACTTGGCTTTTTGGAAACTTAGAGTACGATTTATAAAAAAAAAATTTCCTACAATTTTTTGGAAATCACAATATCAAGAAATTAGTATTGAGCGCAGATTCGCATTTGTTTCCGTATTCCTCTTTCTGGTTAATACCCTTTTATTTAATTTTGCTGAAATGTAGAGAATAATATAAATAGATTTTTCTCTCTTCAATGCAATTTAGAAAGCTAAAATGGCCTTGTTTTTTTCGCAACATTTTCAAGACAAATATTTTAGGTCGTTCAAACCAATTATAAAAAAGTAAAATTATCTCCAAAAATCTTATTTTAGTTTTGGGCATTTTTATCTCTAAAAATTCCCTCCAAAGAGTTTCTTGGTCCGACTACTCCTGCTGGCTATACTCCTAGGTAATTAACCCTATTGCGATTGGGGGGCCCACTTTGAAAGATTTTTTAAAACCCTCCCTAGCACCTCAAACATTCAAATAAGAGGTCTAACTTGTTATGTAATGACCAGGACTTGAAATATGCAGATTGCCTGTCCACCACACCATGCCTATATAATAGGGACTTCTGTCCACCACACCATACCTATATAATAGGGACTTCTGTTGTAACTTCATGTGATCCTCCGTGTACAGAGTACAGAGGTGCATAACCGATTCATAACAGTGCCCTTTTCTGATCAAGAATATGAGATAACTATGATTTCTCCTTGAGAATTGTCTATTTTAAGCTAGAAAACCGATAATATCTTCAAAATTATTGTTCAAACAAAGGTTTAAAGGGCACCGTTGTGGGCTCCAGTACAAAAGGTAGAATTACAAAAGGTAGAATTTTCCAAATTAAATTTTTTTTTAAATGTCCCAAAAAAGTCAAAAAAAAACGTTTCTTATTTGTTAGGAATAATTTTTATTTTACAAATGTACATTATTTTGATCCATGCCAATAATTGTGGCAAGCTGTTTTATATAGTCTGGTGCAGGGATATTATTATACATTTCAGTCATGTTTTTAATTTTGTTTAATGTTTAGTTTTTGTTCACCCTGACCTACCCCTGGATATATTCTCTAATTTTGGAGATATCGTTGCTTCACTCAATCTATTCTCATTGATTTTCTGCGCTTATCTGCTTGTTAAAGGTATTATTTTTGGTAATTTTGCAAATATTTTGAATTTTGAATTAATATCTTTTGAAGATGTCGTACTCTTATCTATAACCTTAACAGTACAACACTTCCCAAACCAAATACTGCCAAATAAGGTTACAGGGTGTCCCACAAAACTAGAAGGTCGTCTTTGATATTTGAAATAATAATCAAAATGGTTGCAATCTGAACGAAATTCTTCTTATCTCCGATAATATTGAAAGCACAAAAGAGGTATAGAGTATAGACCACATTTTCGAAATGACAGGACTAATAACCAATAAACACTCCGTTTAGTGATTGTTTTATTTCAAGATTATTTCTACTCCCAACTTTAGGGTTACACATGAATGGTGCAAAATATTTCAAAGACCAAAGACGACCTTCAAGTCGTCTCTCAACAGACATGTTTCGCGGGACAACCTGTTTAATATGAGAATCGTTTTCCTGGTGTTCAGGTCGGCTGTTTCCTGAGGTGAATGAGGGTGCAACAGATAAACCTTTACCTTATCAATTCTATGCTGGGATAGAACTTCATCCGAGGTTAGTTTTACGATTTCTTAATTTAAACAGAAAGGAATTGAGTTTTGTTACACACTCAAATTTTGTAATACCTTTATCTTTGCAACCTAATGATTTAAATTTTTAAATCTTTAAACTGCGGCTATTTGATCTAACATTTTTCATAATTTGAAATATCTATAGGTCACGACGTCAGGTTGCAGAGATAAAGAGATAACAAAATTAAAATATGTGACAAATATTCATTTTCTTTTTAAATTTTTAAATTTATTATTTTATCATTTGGAATATTTTTCCATCCGAAAACCTGGACTCTAAGAAATTTCAAATTTTCATCTTACAAAATTTGTTGGAGCACCGGCATCAAATTCACCTTAGCTGAATCATTCAACTCCTCCAACAAATATTTTAGATGAAAATTTGAAAGTAGGGTGTACATTTTTCTTGAAAAAATCATACCCTCCCCCCCCCACCACCCCCCTTTTGAAATCAATTTCTTTTCCCTAGAAACTAAGTATGTTTGCGCGGAGAGGCAACATTTTCTGCTAGGCTTTTATTCGCTGAATTAGGGGGGAAATAATTATTTTTAGGAGAAAATAAAAACATTACAGGGTTTTAAAAAAGTATGAAAAGGAATGAAAAAAATTGTCCTTTGCTGTTCAAATACTTTATTCAGACAAATTACCCCCCCTCTCCCTCCCCCTCTAAAGAATTACACCATAGGATTTGTAAATGCTGATATTTATTTTAGATTATTTGGAGTTGACATAAAGCAGTGGACTAATTGTAGGTATAATCTGTTTAGTTTTGATTTTTTTAAAGGTTACTTTTTAGAATGCATATAAAGAAATAAATAAAAGAAGAAAAGCAAATAAATTATTGATTTTTTCGAAGTTTATGTTTTTAAAACAAATGTATTATTATTTAGGGTTGGTATGTTAGGGTGGGCTCTTCTGGTTCTAAACTTCAGTATAGCATCAAGCCAGCTCAACTCATTTAAGCTGGCTCCTTTCTCTAATTCAGTACTAATTAACCTTTATCTCCTCAAGTAAGCATGTTTTGAGGCGTTCACTTTTGAATAGATTAGGCAGTAGGCTGTAACAGGTTAGGTTACCCTAACGAAACCTAGTAAGTTCACAATGTGCACTTTTTAGCTTTGAGTAGCTAAAGTAAGTTAGAGTAAGTTAACTTATAACCAGTTCAACTCATTCAAGTTTATCCTATGATAATACAGAGACTGAATTGAAACGTAAACTTTATAATAAGATTAAATAAAACTATGAGTGCTAAATTCAAAACTTATTTTAAAAAAACTAACCAAGCTAAATGGTTTTGTAAATATTTTTTTAAAAAATGTTTGAAACCTTATTTATTAAATATTTTAAATGCTTTTAATTTGTCATTTTTAGCTGATATTGGTTTAATTTATCACCGCACATTGCACGGAAATGGATGGAATTTCATCAATGAAGATGAGGTCAAAGAGGAGGAGGGGGGGAGGGTGCCTTTGGAAAAGTTTGGGCCTAAACTAATTTTGATATTTATGATTGGATTAATTTTTTTTGGGAAGCTGCCCCACTTAACCAATAAATTTAGTTCATTTACAAATTATTTTTCTTCCAATTTAAATGGCCTAAATATAATTAAACAAACGTCGGAGGAAGGATACAAAATTTTGATCATCCCCACCCCCCCCACTCCTGGAAAATATCGTTAAGTTGCCCTGGATATAACACTTCAACACTGTTTAGATTTTTCTACTGGGAGACTGGATATTTCAATACCCTGGATATAACCCTAGATCGGGCTGGATATTATCTTTGTTGGGGTTGTTTAACATGGGTCCAGGTTAATATTCTTCAAAATTGTTTTTCGTTTTTATTTTTTCCTTTGATTCTGCGGCGCTTTCTTATTATTTTTCATGCAAAGGAATTGAGTTTTTGTCACAAATTCATATTTTCCAATATTTTTCAACCCAATGTCGGTGACCTTTGATATTACAAACGATGAATTCTGTTAGATCAAATAATCTCCAAGGTTTTAACCATATAGGAATTAGAATATTTAAGTTTGAGGCAAAACCTCAGTTCCTTTAGTTTATTTTGTATTTATCAGTTATGTAACTGTTGCTATACACAAATCTACTTTGTTTTAATTAACTGGTAAGTACGTTCAAAACATTTCGCTTTCTACAGTGAGACTCATACAATTGTGAAATATGAAGACGACGGTTTGACTCAAGTTATGTTTTTAAATAATTCAATAAGAATTTGTGGAGTTAATACAAAAATTTGATTTAATTAGAGAATAAAATTATTTTCAAGTGCCTGGTAAAATTTTGCTTTACAATAGAATCGATTACTCTTTTTATGTGCAAATATTTACGGGTCTCTTCGTAACATTTGTGAATTTCACATTAACTGTATATGTCTTCCATGCATTTAAAAAGCATATTTTTTTTCATTAAAATTATTATTTATTTCTTGAACTACTAAAATATTACTAAAATCTATTTTAATTTATTACATTTTACTATAATTTATTTGAAGGTTTTCTATACGTTTTCAGCCTACTACCTTGTAGCACAGCCTTCCAAGGTAAAAGTGGTGATGTGAAAGATATATGCATTGGCAATTTATAATGCTGTGTAATTAACATAGAGATGCAGTATGCCTAACAACTCATGGACATTAGACGTTGTATGTAAACCTCTTAGATAATTGCGTGCAAGTGGATTGTAGTTTAATTCCTTGCAATTCTGCACAATTCCGTACAATTCCACTCAATTCCGTAGAATTCCGTACAATTCCGCGCAATAGAATTCCGATGTTCCTCACGTTACTCAATTAATAATGTATTTCTAAAGAAATTTTTACAGGTTTCTGACTCCGGGGCGTTTGCAATTTTTCTGTTTGGTTTAATTTCCCTTATTCTCAACTATTGGGCTGATTATCAGAAAGAAATCTTCAAGGTAAAGTATACATACTTATTTCTTACAAGAAGGAACTACCAGGATATATATGAACCTCCAAACAATGCCCGATTTACAATTATTCATTTGAAACCTTATTTTGTGAAATATAAAAGATAAAGATTTTATCTGACTCGTATTTTTTTATTTCTCCATAGTTTCTTATAAACAATAAATCCGCATTAAAACTCTCTTAAATTTCCGCTTTATAGGCAAGGGACGGGGAGTGTACAATCTGGGGTCGTAAAGCCAAGTTTGTTCCAGTACAGTATATTGCTCATGATGGGAAGAAGAGGAAAAGCAAGCTGTTGATAAGGTAATAATTAATGTATCATTTACTCTCAGACAAATTAGAATCAATGAAAATTTGAATCCCGAGGGGGTTTAAATTTCCATTGATTCTTATTTGTCTGAGAGTAAATGACATTCCTTTTTAAAGAGGGAATTCAATGATAAACCCGATTGCGGATTTTTTTTTTGGCCTTTCACCCAGAACTAACGAGAGAGAGAAGCATTCGGTTTCTTTTATTTTAACTATCTATAACTCAACAGTCTTTAAACTTACAGATTTGTTTATTTTATACTCTTTCATTCAAAATATATATGCCAACAAAAAAACATTTCAGATAAAAGGCTATAAAAATATGCAAAAGGGGTCAAATTGTGATCGGAAGTCACATTTTACTGAAATACTGACAGAACCGTTAAATCCACGTGCTTTGTAGATTTTTAAAGTATCTATCAATGAAAATATCCCGGCGGGATTAAATGAAAATTGTTACATACCAAAAAACCAGCTTTTTATAAAGGAATAACAAAATTATAAGACTATATTTTAGATGTACTGGGAAGAAACTTCAATTCTTTCAAGCATGCCTAGTACAGTCATGATTAAAACCTCATTTTTATTAAAAAAAGGCATTTGCAATGTTACCGTAATTTGTCGTTTTTTTCTTCACACAATAAAAAACATATTGCTATAACTTTTAATTTTTCACATAAATAGGATGTTTATAATGCTCGGTTTCCAAAAAAAACAATTATTCTTAAATTCAGAGCGCCCAGTAACATGACAGTTGCTAACAAAAATTGGATCTGATTGGTTCAGCCGGTTTAACGTATCTACACTTGTTAAAAAAAACATCAGTGTTTTCTGTTATATCTTGAAAAATAAATTAATTTTATTCATTTAAGGATTTTAATGCATATTTTGAAGCTGGTATCATATTATTATTATATTTAATTTGATAAAATTAGAGCAAAACGCGTGTAAGAAAATGCCTTATAAAACATGATACCAAAAAAATTACCAAAATTCATTCAGAATTGAAATGCGTGGAACAAATTATCTTCCTCACATTATCTTCGTTTTAAAATTGATCAGATGAATATTCCCCGTGTGCTTATTTTTTGTGATAAACGTGAGTCTACTTAAAGGGACTGTACGCGTAGTTTCAAGTGATTCTTCAAGCAAAGATGCCAATGCCCGATTCACAGCGGTACCTTTAAACGCTTTGTCTGATCAAGTATAAATCATTTGTCAATGTTTATCATTTTAATAACTGATTATTTTCAATTGTCTGCAAAAGTCGCTTACGGATTTCTACTGCAGGAAAACACAGGAAAATTCAACACTTTTAAACTTATAAAACGACAACATGAATCTCATTATTGGTCAGATAAGGGATTCAAAGGTACCTTTGTGAATCGACCATACCCACCTTTTTACTCCCATTAAGATGAAAGAAATAGTGTTTGCGTTTGTTACATATTGACACCAATACATCTAAAACAATAACAAAGATTATAAATTTTTTTTGATCATTTTAGTGGATTTTGGGGAGTATCTCGTCACCTGAATTATGTTTGGGAGCTTCTGCTTGCTCTTTCTTGGAGCTTACCTGGCCTTGGGAGTGGGCCTTGGACCTTCATGTACTTCATTTTCCTAGTAGTACTCCTAGTACATAGGTAAGTGTTTCATATCACTGGAAACTTAGATTAATTTCAAGTACCGGACCGACTTTCAACCTGTTATAAGTAGGGATTGGCAATAGCCATATAACTGCAGATGCCTTATATTTTCACCTTATTTGCATGTTTGATGAAAGTAAACTTCTGCAAAATACAATTTTAAATCGTTGGACCCTTCTCTGATTGTCGTAAATCCTCCTTAAAGTCTAAACGTATTAAAGTGTATGTAAAACGAATCTAGCAATTGCCATAGAGAATAGAATATACATTAGAGGGGAATTTACTAGAAAAAAGTGTAAAACGGCCATTATGTTGTACTGTTTCCATACTGCAGGTGTACTTCACATATTTATGCTATATAACCTTTTGGGCCCTGGGATACCATTTTATAGAAAATCTAAAATTTACTGTACAGTGTACATTTGTTTTATATCAAGTAAACATTCTGGCCCTGTTGGTCTTAAAAACTAGACGTTACTTTACAACAATATGTCTCTCAATTGGCCTCAGTAATACTGCAGTTTTAAACCAGAGGAATTCCTAACGTTCATTAAAGTTCAATCTTTTCAACAATTTTATGAATTGGGATTAAAACTAAATGATATTGGCTTGGTCGGTGTTTCAACCCTGCTTTCGTCCTATGGTGGTTTGCAGTCTAAATCCAAACTAGGAGTGTGCATAAGCCCTGGCTCCAATTTGACTGTTATGAATTTATAATTAAAATTCTCCGTTCCTTCATGATTTTCTAGAATTTTCATTTGCCTGAAAATATAACTCTTCCACAGTAAGGCTGAGAACGTAGTAATATTTTACAAACACAAATCAAATTATACCTTTTGGATTATAGTTACAATGAGAACCAAACAACTCTGGAATATTAAGAGTAATTTTATACTCAAGCTATTGGCTTTAAATATTCAATTCAACATAAGACATGGCAATTGTGCGGTATAAACAGACTCATTTCACTTAATAAGTGATTTAAAAAGTAACTATAGTAAAACTATTTGCTTTTTTACAGGAGTAACAACATCATTTGCGCTAAAAGTTTTGCTTTAAAGTCGTATTCCTTTTTCCACAGTTTTCTGGTTCTCTCTGTACTTAGAGCTATTACAATTTTAGAACATTGCTTCTAATAACTAAACATTACATTACACCAAACATTAACTGTTTTAGTTTTTTTCCCAAAGGCATTTTCCCATTGGTCGCCCATGGGAAAATTTGCCAAGTTGCAACTTCCCAAATGTGCAATTTCCCAAGCGGCATTTTCCCAAAGGCTAGGTTAGCCCTTTTCAGGCGCCGCAGGCTGCAGTGTGGGGGGGGGCGAGCGCTGGGGACAGAATGGGCTAACGGGGCTGGGCGCTATGGCTAGACCGGGATAGCTAGCTGATTACTGCGGCAAGGACAGACATTTAGATTGCACATTTGGGAAGTTTCCACTTATGAAAATACCCTTGGGAAGGTGTCGCTTGGGATAATGCCTTTGGGAATTTACCAAACATATTTTTAGAACATTTCGAGATGAAGAGAAGTGTTCTTCAAAGTATGGAAAAGGATGGACAGAGTACTGCAAGCTTGTACAGTACAGACTTATACCGTACATTTTTTGAATAAATATATATAATTATATTTTTAATAAAAAAGTCATCTGTTTAATTTTTTCTTCATTTTATACGGCAAAAACCATAAAACTGAGTAATAAGAAGACGATATTAAAGCAATAATTAAGTGTATTTGATGTTTTTACAATGCAATTAGTTTTACCAGTAAGTTTAAAATCTCTTATTAAGTGAAATGGGTCTGTTTACGCTGCTCAATTGCTATTAATGCTAGTTATGACTATATTAAAGTCGTAACTGGAGTCTATATGTAGAGTCGTTTTTTATTCCAAAGTTTTCTAGTTTCACTGCATTAAACTTTATTGAGTTATAAACCCATGCATGTTTTACTTACCAAGAAACACATTGTAAAATCATCATAATTCAAGTGATTAGTGGAAAATTGGTAAGATTGTGTAAAATGATCCTCCAGATTCGTGTAGAATTTACAATGAAGAATAACACAGTTTATCAAAGAATAAACCTAAGTGGTAAAAATTGATTAGCCATGAGATTCTATACCCCCCCCCTTCCAGCCTCTCCTCGTTCATATTTGAAACAAAATAATCCGTTATTTTTCAATCCGAAACAGTTTAGTTTAAAACCCATGGGTTTGTCCAAAAACGAAAGATCGTCAGTTTTTAATAAATATATTTAAACGAAAAACGATCGCTTTTTCGAACGTTTCAAAGACGATAAAAAGTTAGATATGTAAGCAGAAAATGTGATAAAGAATGTAAGCAGAGAATGGAATGAATATGATATATGCAGAGAATGGGATAAAGAATGTAAGAAGAGAATGGAATGAATATGACATATGCAGAGCATGTGATGCATACTATGTATATAGAGAATGTGTAAAAGAGGATGAGAGCAAATACTGTGATGAAGATGATGTAAGCTTAGAATGTGATAATAATAAAGTAAGGAGAGAATGTGATAAAGATAAAATAAGAAAATAATGTGATAAAGATGATGTAAGCAGAGAATGTGATAAAGATAAAGTTAGAAAATAGTGTGATAAAGATGATGTAAGCAGAGAATGTGATAAAGATACAGTAAGCAGAGAATGTGTGATGTAAACAGAGAATGTGATAAAGATAATGTAAACTGAGAATATGATAAAGACGATATTAGCGGGGAATGTGATAATTATGATGTAAGCAGAGTATGTGATGAAGATGATATGAAAGCAGAGAATGGGATGAAAATGGTGTAAGCAGAGAATGTGATAAAGATACAGTAAGCTGAGAATGTTATTAAGATAAAGTAAACATGCAGATAATGTGATAAAGATAAAGTAAGCAGAGAATGTGATAAAGATAAAGTAAGCAGAGAATGTGATAAAGATAAAGTAAGCAGAGAATGTGATTAAAATGATGTAAGCAGAGAATTATTCTTCAAACAGAAAATGTGAAAAGGATGCATTGAACAAAAAACGTGATTAAGAACACAAAAAAAGCAGCAGGTTTATAATTTTTAAATTGTAATAAATAACGTGGCTAAACGTAAAAAATTCATATAAAATTTGTGCGTAGTTCATTCTTACATATAATTGGTTTTTAAAAATCTAAACAAATTAAATCAATCTTATTCTAGGATCATATTTCTAAAGCATCAGTCCTGAGTTTAAAAGACGAGCAAATTCATCCAATATCATCAGTTAACAGCTTGATATACAACATGCAACAACATAATTCAACGATTCAGACGCTTTCTGAAACAAGTAGTCCTACCATCATCAGTAAATATGCTCTCAGTTCTCCATTGTGTAAACTTCGAAGTAAGGAGCGAAGACGATCGACAACAAGTTGTTCAGCAACTGGTTCTCTGATCAGCAGGAAAAGGAGGGAGGCCAACATCACTGGTACAAAAGTAAACCCTAAAGAAACACGGGTATCCAGGAAGAGGCCCAGCTGCACCGATGAGGATGAAGATTTCAAGTTTTTAGACAAAGTCATTGACAACATGAATGCCCAAACACGGGTATCCAGGAAAAGGCCCAGCTGCACCGATGAGGATGAAGATTTCAAGTTTTTAGACAAAGTCATCGACAACATGAATGCTGGATTTAAGAAACAACTCTCAGTCGAAATTTTAGAATCTCAAGATTACGACAAGCAGGACACTGAACCATCAGACATCATTGGTCAACTCTCTGATCTAATTCTAAACCATATTCAGCGAGTCAAAGAAATAACACAGGAGTTCCACTTTATCAACAACAAGAAGCAGAGGAATGATGAGAAATGCTCAACTCAGATGAATGATAAAAAAATTGAAGAAGTGTTCCAAGCTTACAATTTATATAGATCAACCATGCAGGAAATAGATCTGGAAATAGCGATTGAAGAAACGAGAATGTTTAGCAAAGCGGTTGAACTAAATCTGGGAAATCAGTGCCTGTTTACTAAATGTCCAGCAAAGTGTGATTGCACAAACAAACACTAAGCATAAATTTTAACATATGATTGTACAATTTTAATTGACCAAATCAATGTAATTCTTAAAACTAATAACTGCACATTTTGTGATCTTAAAACAATTATTCACAATATGTTTTGATTTGCAAAGGAAGGGTATAAAACTGTGTGGCATGATTGATAATAAAAAATAAAATTAATGCTTTAAATTAACCATTTTTTCATCGTACTCTGCAATTAATAATGTTCTCTGATTTATTTTGTAAATTGGTGTATTTATAAATTAATAAATGTCGACATTTTTCTATGCAGAATTGTTTATTTGACGAGCCCTAAACCTTTCAGCTGGAGTCAGCTGGAGTTGCAAAAAAAAAAATTTGGAACGACGAGTTCGGCCGTTTTAACGTTATATCGTCTATTGGATACATACACCCTCACGCACAAGCCAAACATATAAAACGTATTGCGCCCTCTTTTCTATTAACACTTTTAGCTTACAACTGTTGCGATCTTAAAGTTGCCATTTTTTAGCAGATTTTTCAATTAAAATTAAAATCAACATTTTTAAGTTTGATGGTACATAAACCTTACTTGTGGCCATGTTATACACANGCAAACATTTTTACTATATAACTGGATTTTGCGATAAAAAATTCAATTTTTGCAAATTTGCAATTTTTTTGCAGATTCTAAAAGTAGAGCATAAGAGCTTTCCAATGATGTATCATTTGTCATATTTGGACATTAATTTAGCATATCCATGGTTTTCAAGTACCCCAGCAGAGATAGAGTTAAGTCAATCCTATTCCATAGGCGCCTGACAGCTGTCATCGCCAAGGGAGCTAGGAGAACAAGTACTTAAAGAAGACTTATCAGAACAAGTTTGATTTGATGAAACTTGAACCATTAAGTAGTACATATATGTATCCTTATAATAATATACTGTATTGTTATGTAAACATCGAGGTTCAGCTTTTATAAAAATTCAATCAAAAGTTCCGAAAAATTTATGCTCACCCTTTAGGATAAAGTTTGGAAGGGTACAAACAACAATTCATTAAAAGTCACAAAATTTCACAGTGATAGTGTCAAAAATGAGAGTGCTAGGAGTAAAAAATATGGGGGGGGATTTTCCCCAACCCTTTCCACCTCCCCCCCAGCCTATATTAGACAAAATTAGCTCAGCCGGGATAGATTTAAATTAACTTTTATGTTTTTAACAAGACTCATGATCTAGTCATACTATTCTACAGGGTTACCCACACAGGATGAGACTTGAGAAACAACAGTCAGAATTTATTAATTGAATATTCCTTTAAACTTTAAACTTTTTTCTTTGCTAAATAATTAAATATACCATTCATGAACTATATTCAAGACAAAAAGCCAACTTCAACCCTCAGATCTTCATAGTTAAAGATTTTCATGTTGTCATTTAAGTCTCACCCTTTGTGAGTAACCCTGCATATTCAAAGTTGAACACTAAACAGGATACCGACCCTTACTAGATTTGAAAATAGAAATACAAATAAACAATTTATTTAATCAGTTTTCGTACATACGATTTTGAAACTAATATATTAAGAAATCATATTGTTTTCCTGGGATTATGCTACCTTATTTTAATTTGAATAACATGAAATTGTGCAGCACATTTACCCTGGGGGGGGGGGGGCCCCC